GAAAGTGGTATTCTAATTCCTTAGTGGGGAACAAATTGTTTTGCTATCAAAATTCTCATGAAAGCTTGCCTCCCAGAGTTGTGGGTGCATGAGAATCCTGATAGGAAAATAATTTGTTCCCTGCTAAGGAATTAGAATGACACTGATTTGCAGAGGCTTTTCTTCTTATATTTAATTTCACAGACACTGACCTGTGTAACCAGGCAGTCAAAGGACATTTTGGGCATAATGGAAGCAATTGAACACATTGTTATTATTACACATTTGGAACAGAAGTAAAATTTTGATCCTTATTCACATCATAACTTTAAATTTTGGGTGAATTCAGGTTTGAAAATAGGTGTATTTTAAAGTCAAGAGGTAAAAGGATTATTAACATTTTAATAGCAATAGCACTTAGACTTATATACTGCTTCATAGTGCTTTACAGCCCTGTCTAAGCAGTTTACAGGGTCACCATAAGGCCCCCAATAATCTGGGTCATCATCTTGGAAGGCTGAGTCAACCCTGAGCCTGATGAAATTCAAACTGCCAAATTATTGGCAGCCGATAGTCAGAAGTAGCCTGCAGTACTGCTTTCTAACCACTGTGCCACCGAGGCTCTTTACATTACCTTATAATCAATTATATGATTTTAAACTACTTGAGCTATGGCAAGAGGAAATTAAAGGTAAAATTTCCCCTCTCCAGTCATGAGGCAGTGCTCATCTCCATTTCTTAGCCGAGGGATCAGTGTTGTCCAAAGACGCTTCCATGGTCATGTGGCCAGAATGACTATACATTTGAGGCATGGACTGCTTTACATTCCCACCAAAGTGGTACCTATTTATTGAGTTGCATTTGCATGTTTTGGCAGATTGGCAGGAGCTGGGGCAGGAAGAGGAGCTTACCCTGTTACACAACAGTTGGATCTCAAACCCAGGATGTCAGCTTTCCAGCTGACAAGTTCAGGGTCTTTAAACCCTGAGCCATCGGTCCCCTCAAGAGGAAATTACATGGCCTAAAACTATGGAATGGTAAAATGTTCAATGAAAGCAACCTTTGATTTCATAATTTGGTCCAGATCTTGGGATGCATCCAAATCTTGGGATGACAATCATTGTTTGAAATGTAATAATGGGACGATGAGGGAATGAGGCTCAAAGCACCCTTGGCCAATCCACAGTGTAAGTGGGGAAGCAGAAGTGGAAAGGAAGAGACAACAAGCAGACATGGAACAAAAAACTGGAAGGCACATCAGAGATCTGCTAGTGCAAGGGTCCCCAAACTTGTCAACTTTAAGACTTGTTGACTTCAACTCCCAGAATTCCGGGAGTTGAAATCCACAAGTCTTAAAATTTCCGAGTTTGGAGACTCTGTTCTAGTGACTAGTCCAAACCCCTGCTCAATCCAGGAGCCTTACATCATTGCAGTCAAATGATTAGCCAGTTTTTTGAAAACCTCAGTGATGGAGTACTCACAACTCTGGGAGGCAAGCTATTTTATTGAGTAAGTGTTCTCACGGTCAGAAAATTTTCTCCTTACTTCTAGATTGGATATCTCTTTAACAAGCTTGTCCTTGTACTTCTTGTCCTGCCCTCAGGTGCTTTTGAGTTTTGAATTCTAGTAATCCTTATCAATAGTGCTGCTACTTGACTAAGTTCCCGTGCATAGGCATGAATAATAAATCAATATAATTGGAACTTTACATGTGGCCCTGGTCTTTTATGGCTGACAACAGCCAGTTTATTCGGCCTTCTGATTATCTGATATTATTTACAGATCAATTCTTTTGCAGATTACACCAGCAGATTTGCCTGCTGGATAGGGCAAAATGCAGTATTTTTCAACTGCAGCAGCAAAATAAGCAGCCAGGCCAAAAAAGCACAGGAAATATTACAAAAGTTAGAGCCAGAATAATTTTTCTTCTACTATCAGAACCAAATAAGCCTATGATAAGAGTGGGCAAATTATTTCAATTGAAGTCGTATCAATTGGGGATAGTCTGAGGCCATACACTGCATCATAATTGTCCTCCATATAATTTACAGGGCCAAAGTGTCTGTTTTTTCATCTGTTCCTACATCAATTTAAGCAATTTTGATCTTTGCTCTCCCTTGGTAAATGTATCACAGCTTTCTAAGACTGTCAGGCTCCAATTGTTAAGATCCTCTAAAGCAGGTTATTACAAGATGTGATTTTTTTTGATGTCTGCCTGTTAAATCCAGAAATGCTGAAGGAGAACAATGAATTATGGCTTTACTTACCCCGGCAAACCATAATATAACATAATGAAATACTAAAAGGGGAAATGGATAGAGGAAAATTATTTTCTTCTACCATTATCTCAAAGACTTCCTTGCTAATGATTCTAATATCATAAAGAGATTTAAAGTAAACTGTACTTCTAAGTATCCCAAATGGTATCTGCAAATATCATGGTTTCATTTATTTATACCCTCTTCATAAGAGAATTGAGAATGTGCTGATCAATGAATGCATTAATAACTCTTCCTATCATCATTCTACTTACATAGGAACTCCATTAACGAATACCAGTATTTGCAGTTGTATTCCACCCAATGTCTGCTCGCTATATTTATTTGTAAATGAGCTGAATACTTCATGAAACTACTATACCAAGGTGACTTCAGGTCACAAATGGTTGTATGGTAATTAACATTAGTAAGGTATTTATGTTGCCATGTTCTTTAAGGCATTTTATAATATAGTGGAAGTGACCAATTAGCTTGAGTAATGAAAACATGGACTCTTCATTTATTATGACCAAAACTGGGACCAGAATTTCCGTTCCTAAGCAAAGTAAGTATTGAGTTTCACCCAATTTTACAACATTTTTGCCATGACGATTAAGTGAATCTCTGCAGTTGTTAAGCGAATGTTGTGGGCCTTAAACGAATCCAGTTTCCCCCCATTGAATTTGCTTGTCAGAAACTGCAACCACTGTAAACATGTGCCGATTGCCAAATGCCTGAATTTGGATCATGTGACTGTGAAGATGCTGCAATCAAGGTTGTGAGTGTGAACTTAGATTTTAAATGACAAGCTCCAAAAATATGGAAAATATACTAGATATACATTTGTACACTAGATATACAAATGAAACCAGCTGATGTTTTAATAATTAAGAGACATTCAAATGTGATAATAGATAAGTAATAAGTGATTATTAAGCAATAATAAGAGTAACTCAAATAATTTTCCTCTATTGTACTTACAAAGGAGACGTGTTAAATTTTGAAAGACTTGGTGAGGAAAAAAAAAGTACCATGTTCTAGGACATTATTTGAAGAAAATAAAGATCAAGATACTTTACAAGGGAAGGAATGTAAAGTTGTTTTATTTGATCAAGATTAAAAGGTGTTAATTCTGGCAATCCTTAATGGACTTTTGCTGACCAAGATTGAACAATGAGGATTTAAGGATCTGTCTTTAGATAAGAGATGTGACATGGGTTGAAGAGATTGTTTGTCTTATTTTAAAAGAATGGTAAGTTGTTAAAGTTGTTTAGATTTATCGTGACTTATTGTGACACAGGGGAAAGTAATTTTATACTTTCTTTTCTTTCCTGTGTTTTTTCTTTTTTATTCTTCTATGTGCGTGTGTATTCTTTTCTACACTTTTTATTATTTGTAGCTTGTAGTAGTTTTGATTTGCATAAAATTATTTAGAAAAAGTAACCAAAGATGACATAACTGAAACAGCTTTACTTGGCAATTTCTATAGACTTTCATTGCTATCTCTGTGTTCTGGAAGACAGAGTAACTGTGAAATTAACCTTTCTTCAAGATCCACAGTGGGTTATGGGTGATACTGCATACTTACATCAGAATTACCAAAATTTTGCATTCAGAGAACATACTGGGCCCACCATTGACCTGGTTTACTGTATCTTATGAATATAACTGAAAGAGCCAGGAAGACAAAAAACAAGTTTGATTTTAATAGTTAATAAATGTTGATACAGTACAAATTTTGAGGAGGAATGCTACAATACTATGGACTGATCTGAAGATGCAGATCATAGAAGCAATTCACTAAGATAACTTTGAACATACAAGGCCCAACAAGCCAGTGCATGCTCTACCAATCCAGACATTGGGTCTTGTACATCATGGTTTATTTCTTCATAATGCGAACTCTTAACTGTGGTTTGTTAACAAACCATTCAAAATCCACATAGTTTGCTAAGGGGACTATGTATCTTGCAAAACCTAGAAACCTGGGTTGAGCGTTTCAATTTTAAACACAGATCTTCATGCAATATCCCTTCCCCCCCCCCCACTTCTCAAATTATGGGGTGCTCTCAATAAAGGTCCTTTTTCCTCCATAACAATTTTGACCCTTCTCATCAGCTTCTTCTGACAGGAGTTTTGCTAACCCAAAGGAATAAGAAACCACGAGCAGAAAAGACACAAAGCCTTTTTTTTTTTTGGCAGAGCCCAGCTGGCGGCAGGGCGGCGGAGAGGCGCGCTGCTGCCAACCTCCCCCACCCACCCACGCACCCACCCCTGCCACCGGGCACACGCTTTCGAGCCCCGCAGTCCCACTGCGAGCAGTAAGCCCTTTCCGGTAGGCAGCGGGCGGCGACGTCTCTCTCAGGCCCTTTCCACTATAAGGCCCGCGAGTTCCCAAGCGGGCGAAAACAATGAACCAAGCGGTAACTGGCCGCCGTTCTCAGGGCTTTATGCCAGAGGAGAACTTTGCACGTTACGGACGGCCAACTTCTCGGTGCAAGAAAGCAAAAGGAGTTGCCGGAAGAGCCCGTCAACTCCCCAGCAGCGCTTCAGGGGACAACATTTTTTCAGCATGACGCGCCTCCCCCACGGCGGCGCACCCAGCCCGCCGGCCCCGCCAAGGCGCCTCTTTCCAAGCCCCGCGGGCCCCGGGTTGGGAGGGCAGTGCGGGCCACCTTTGCCTCTTCTCCCCCCCACTTCTCTCTCTCGCCCCTCCCCTCGCCTCATTAAAGGCACCGCGCGCGCTTGCGGAGCTTTGGTTACCTTCTTTAGCTTTTTTCCTCCTGGCTAAGGTGCCTCCGAGCTTTCCGAGGAAGGAGTCGTCTTTCTTCCGGGAAGGGGGCGACTTGGGGGTCGGAGACTTGGGGGAAGAAGGCGATTTCTGAGGAGAGGTTGCCATGGCGGTGGCTCCTACCAAACGGCGCCCGAGCCTGCTTGGGAAACGAAAGCGGAGAGGCTTCGGCTCGACTCAGTCACCAGCGGGCTCGTCCCTATTCCCAACGGAAGCGGAATTATTTCAAGCATCCAAGGCTGCTCTGGGTCTGCTCCTTCCCTCCCTCGGTCCTCCCTCCCTCCCTCCCGCGCACACCCAGAGAAGGAGGTTTCCCCCCCCACCTCTCACTCTGGCAAACTCGCGCAGAGCCCGATCGGCTCCGTTGGAGAGCTGCTGCTGCTCGTTCCCGCTCCCCTTCCTCAAAGCCCAGAGATTGTGAGAAACGTTTGCGGCTTTGACTCGCAAACTGCCCCTGCATCTTCGGCGGACCTGCAGGTAGACTTGAAAAGATGCTGCGGCCTGGACCCTAGGGCAAAATATACAGTGAAAAAGGTCCCGGCGTCCACCGCCTGCTTAGGCATAGGTCTGCAGCCCGATCCTGCTACCTACGGTTGCTTGACAGGAAAGTCGGTGGAGGTGAATCTACTTTTCACGACTCTTACGCCTAGCTATTCGTTTCACTTGCAAAGGGGGAGTTTGGGGGAAGATCCTGCGTGTCTCCATTCTGAATTAAAGTAAACTCGCGTCTTTCGTTGCACTTACAAAGGGGCGGCCGCGCAACTTGGCAGCCCTTTCGCTCCCCTGGGCTGATTTATTCACCGTACCTGCATCATTGGCCGTGACAGTTTCAAAAAGTAGCGTAGTCTGTGCTCCCGGAAAACATTTCCCGCGACGTCATTTCCTAGCCCAGTTTCAGTTACACATAATGTGTCTGTACTCCTATCAATGTCAAAACTAAGTCTTTGTCCCACTCCGTAAATTGTATCGCCTCTTTTCCACTCCGCGTCCTCCTCGGCGGAGGTGGGGGGGGGGGGAGGAGGAGGAATCGTCCGAGGATACCGATGTGCCGCCGTGGGATCTTGAGGATTGCCGAACTAAGAATTCAAATGTAATGTTAGAGGAGGTGTTGAAAGGGGGTTGGGAAAAAATAACGTTTAATGCAGTTTCTTTGATTTTGGAGGCTAAGCAAGCTAGCCAGGAAGTAACTTAACAGCAAAGTTGAATAAAAGTGGGAGTTACTCTTTCTGCTTGGTCGAGGATGTGCTTCACGGGGCATAAGTCTCTATTTCTGTGCTGCCAGCCGGTATTAAGCAACTGAGCCATTTCCCAAGATGTTGGTAGGTGGGAGAAATCAGCCCCATAAAAAGTTGACTTTTATTCAACATTTACATGAGACTACTGGAAAAGATCAAAAATGTGGTCAGATAAATCAAGGCTATGGTTTTCCCCGTTGCAATGTATGGCTGTGAAATTGAGGCCTTTGAACTATGCTGCTGGAGAGGATTCCTGGTTCCTTGGACTGGAAGGTGATCAAACCTTCAGTCAGTCCTGACTGTTCTTTAGAAGGCCAGATCCTGAAGATGAAACTCAACTACCTTGGCCACCTAATGAAAAGGAAGGACTCACTGGAGAAGAGCCTAATGTTGGGAAAGATTGAGGGCAATAGAAGAAGGGATGACAGAATGAGGTGGCCGGATGGAGTCACTGAAGCAGTAGGTGTGAGCATAAATTGACTCGGGGGAGAATGGTAGAGGACAGGAAGGCCTGGAGGAACACTATGGGTGGGACATGATTTTGCAACTAACAACAATCTTTGGTATGTTGATATTACAGTACCCAGCTTTAGATTTCAGCCTTGGCTGAGGAAGAAATACTGTGGAGGTCCTTTCCTGGTACCTGAAGGTGTGAATGAGGAGAATCAGAGTTTAGGCTTGAATCTAGCAAGATCAAATCACTTTGGTTTCAATAACATGCTGGTCATCATGAGTTACTTGAAGGAATGACACTTTCCCAGATGTATGTAACTTATGGTTCCTCCTGGACTGTTAGCTCCTGCTCAGTGAACAACTGTGGCCACAGGGCCTTTTATTTAGGGTTCATTTTAGATATCCAAAAGCAAATCTTTATAAAAGCAAACTCTCCCTTGCAGACCACGCAGTGAAAATTACAAAAATAACATTTAGAGTTGTGTCCAAAGTTACTGAAACTAAGTAACTAAGGATAAATATTATCAATTAATTATAACTAAAATCACCATTTTTAGACTTTACTTATTAAGAGTGGTGTGGTGTCCTAGTGGTGAAGACACCTGTCTCCCACTTGGAAGGTTGAGCGTTCAATTCTAGGTAGCAGCAGATGGTTTTCTCCTAAGGCCCAAAGAAAAAATATCTGCTGTGAACTCCATGTGACATCAGGAAGGACATCCGGCCAGTAAACACTCAACTCCATCCAGTCGCCCCCAACTACACCGAGTTAAGGGATTACAGAGTCATAAAAAGGAATTATCGCCCTCAAAGGAAGATCATTGAGGCTAGGAACTTTGGCTTACTGTACATAGTCAACAAAACTCTAATCTGCTAAATTAGGGCTTAGTTGCATTTACATTGTGTAAGATCAAGTTATATGCTATTTGTATCAGAACTTTTCCATCAGTCAGGAATCACAGATTTTTGCACTTAAATGTTTTATACAATACTTGATATTCTTTAGAAGAAGAAGCAATGACTTTGATTCATATTTTACACACACTTTTTTAAAAAAATATTTCCATTTGGAATAGTAAACAAAAGATGTTCAGTGTTATCCTACACCTTTCATGCAAGTTTTAAAAAGCAAAATTACAAAAATAACATTTAGAGTAAACCAATATTTTTATTATTTGTTTCAATACAAATAGCCTACTTCAAATTGCTTTACATCTTGTTCAGAATAAATGCTTATATATTAAATTACAATGTACAAAGTACAAATATCTACCATAGTTTTAAAGTTTAACATGTATAGTGACTTTTAGTTTACAAACACATAAATTGCATTTTCTTAACAGCAACTGATTCCTTTTTGTTTTTTATTTACAACATACATATACAGTATAATTTCTAATCAACTGTTGTAACTGTTCATAATTACAATGGCATTCTAATCACAAGAATACCTTCCTCCACCTTAAGAATTAATGTAAAATGTTAAGTGGTATGTAGTAGTACATACTGTATGTCAATCACGGAAAGTCTTTTCATCATCCATCAACAAGATATGTTTACTTTTAAGGAAAACTAAAACAGTGTTGCAGTTTTGTAACTATCAAGTATTCTCAGAATTAAAAATCCAGGAAGTAGAACACAAAAACCATTCTAGTATTACTTCCTCAGTGGAACTTATCTAAGGCCCATTTATGATTCTGTCATTCTTTTCCCATAAAAGCCAATGCTATTTTTACATTATCAATTGGAGCATTATTCCTTTCCCCTACAGTTGTACTGTGCAATAAGATTTTGATCCTAATTTACTTGATTTATTTATTTGATTTCTATAAGCCCTGCCCCCTTTCCACAAGTGACTGGAGAGCATACATTAATGGTATTCACTATGCTGGAAGGACAATTGTTTTCTGAGAACTTTAAAACATAGAATAACAGAGTTGGAAGGAACCTTGGAGGTCATCTAGCCCAACCCCCTGCTCAAGCAAGAGAGTCTATAACATTTCAAACAAATGGATGTCCAATCTCTTCTTGAAAGTCTCCAGTGATGGGGCACCCACAACTTCTGAAGATAAGCTGTTCCAGTGATATATTGTTCTCACCGTTAGGAACTGTATACACCTTCCTGTGTTTATATTTGTCAAGCAGTATAAACTTACCAAAATAGTTCTTTGGTAAGTTCTACCAAGTTCTTTGGCTAATTGAAACTTTCTGTTCCTTCCAAGAAATACTATTCTTCTGTTTTTCTTATGTTTCTTATTCATCAATTAGGCCCTGTTTCAAATACAAAAGTTAAAAGTTAATAACCTTTTGCTATTGCATTAAATAGCATACTGGATATATTTAGGGTTAGTGTAACAAAAGTGGGGAAACCAGAATCAGGATCAGTTCTGTCTATTTATGCTGTGATGTCCATGAATATCATCAGACATGGAATACATAAAAAGCTCACCAGGCATTTGTGAACAGGTTGCCCACCTGTATTGCTGTGTATTGCTGTTACTTTTATACCCCATCAAGAATGCTGTTCAAGCAGGGATTTATAGACAAACTTGCTAAATGAACAATATACAAGAAGCTGCCATTCATACATTGCACAGACTTTCATTCAAGAGTCGGTTCATAGTTCCAACAGGAACATTTCTGAACCCATCCTTGGCCCATAATCCAGATATGAATGCTAAATAATAATTATTTGTATGTAAGAATTATTTCATGAGAGTCATTTTGAACATTCTTTCTCCTATTCTACCAAATACCTGAATTGCTTTTAAATTTTCTTTATAAGTGATGACTCAAATGTTGATTTAATTTTAGCACATATGTTCTAAAAACTTCCAACTCTGTTGTTTAAATATATGTTCAGTACCTCTCACACTGTTACCTCATTGGGTTAAGCAATGCTGTGCAAAGAGCAAGAAGTAGAGGGTGAAGCAAAGGAAAATCAGGAGGCAAAAGGAAAATTTACACAAACATTTCGCATACTTCCCCATACCTTCACACCCATGCTTTCACCAGATCATGCACTGCCTTTTGTATTTAAAACCTCTAATTTCTCTGTTTTTCATGATTGTCATCTGTTCCATTCAGATCTTTGTGAATATTGAGTTTCTTTATCTTCCCCTTGGTCTCAACCCATTTACTCTTTCTCCATATATTTCTTTCCTGATTTGATTCTTATTCACTTGATTTATTACAAAACATCTCAGCTTTGTTCATACTGATTTTTCACTTTCATATTACTACATTCATCCATCAGCCTTTTATTTGTCACCATATAAGAAAAAAAAATATTTTTGGGAGGGCGGAGCTGGCGTTGTGACGATACGACATGCAATCTTGGAGGTCTGAGATCGCTGCCGATATCTTTGCTCCTGGATGGTCCTATCGGATCTAAACCGTCCCGAAGAGATGATGAAAGTGAAGAGCGCATCCTGTTGATCCCAGGGATACCACAAAGTCCCTGGTAGATCCAGGAGAAGCTCTTCTTGCCAGCAGCAAAGAGACAGCCATTAAAGCTGCTGAAGTTGGGACAGCTCCGAAATGGAAGAGAACAGAAAGAGAGAGTGTGCCGGTTTGGTGAGAACTTTTTCTTTATTCTAAGATCTGAAAGGACACCCTAAGGAAAAGAAAGAATCTGTAAAAGTTTTGACAGAAGTGATTAAGCGGCGATTTTAAACAGGAATGTCAAAGTAATTTTTTTTTCTCATTGCTGGATTTTCTATACACGATCTTATATTTTGAAACTGGACTGGTTTTTTCTTTTACATCTATTTTTTTCTCCTTTTAGATTTTGTAATATTTTAGGCTAGAGGCTCCCTTTTAGTTATTTCTTTTTAAAAAAATATCTTTTTCTTTTTTTATTAATTCTTATTATATCTTCCTTGGAAAAGGAGGGGGAAAGTGAGAGCAAAGAAACTTTGTAACACTGCCAACTAGAGGCTTGAAAATATTCTATTTCCCTGTGACCAGACAAAGCTGAGAAAGAAAGAACTGAGACTCTTTTTCAAGGACCTTGCTATTTGATAAGATAGAGAGAAGAGCATGGGAGAGTATTATTGCAGGTGCTCTTCTGAGTTTCTATCAACAGCTGGAGTCTGGTGTTGAAACCTAGGGGGGAAAAAAGGAGATAGGTTTTTGGAGAAGAGAGCTATAATAAGAGCCTTGGATAATTAAACAAAGTGCAGTGTGCCCTTTTTACTTTTTATAAGTTGTGCTATCCCTCCTCACCAGCTTTATTGTATTTCATTTTTTCTTTTTTTTTTCTTGTAGTAACTATTTGGGTTTTTGGCTTTATTGGAGCTTGTCTTTGTTTTTCTTTTTTTCTTTGGAAGTGCAATCTCTATGTTTGCTTTTTATTTTAAAGGGAAAGCTTTAGTATTAATTTTTTTTAAGGGAATAGCCTTTTTTCCCCCTTTCCTGGTATTTTTGTTTTTTCATCTACCTTTCTGGTTTATTCTTATGCACTCTTTTCTATTTGAGACCTTTCGATTGGATTAAGGTGTTGAAGAACCTGAAGAATTTTTCCTTTTCCTTTTTTTCCCTTTTTTTCCCAAGCCTTTTTCTTCATCTAACTACTGATCAACAGAATTAATAACTAATATTCAAGAAATAAATATTGAAACAAGTACTTGGGCAGATCACAATCCAATGACAAATGGAAAGGACAAAAAAGAAGATCTAGATGGATGTTAAATAATACTATTTTAAAGGAAAAAGACTTCACACAGTGGATGGAGAAAGAATTGCCTTTTTTCTTTAGAGAAAACAAAAAAGAAGATACATCAATTCAGAATGTATGGGATACAATGAAGGCATATGTTAGAGGCTTGATAATAGACTATACAAGGAAAAGGAATACTATGAAAAGACTAGCCTCTAAGGCCTTAGAGGATGAGTATAAAAGACTTGAAAAAGAGCTACAGAAAATGCCACAGAAAAAGGACATCAAGCTAAAAATGGATATAATTAAACATAAAATGGGTCAAATAGAAAAAGAAGAATTAGCACAGAAAATTAGAGGTGCTGAACAGAACTACTTTGAAGACGCAAACAAACCAGGTAGATGGTTAGCATACAAACTGAGAAAGGAGAAAGAATCAAGGAAAATATTGCAATTAATAGATGACTAAGGCCAAGTTTGCTATGGTAGTAAAGAGAAGAAGGAAATCATTCGAGACTTCTATGGGAATTATATATGCAAGAGAATATTGATGAGGAAAGAGTTAAACAGTACTTACAGAATGCTAATTTACGTCAGATACCTAAAGAGACTGAAACAATGTTAGAAAGCAATATAACGATGATGGAGTTAACTGAAGCACTCAGAAGAAGCAAAATAATGGAAAGGCACCAGGCCCAGATGGACTTCCGGCAGAATTTTACAAAACATTACAAGAATAGTTGAATCTTCCATTGCTAGAAGTTATGAATGAAGTTATGTTAAAGAAGAAGATATCTAAATCATGGTCAGAAGCCTATATTACACTTATTCCAAAAGAGGAGGCCGATCCATTACAAATTAAGAACTATAGACCTATTTCTCTACTAAATGCAGATTATAAAATCTTTGCTTCAATATTGGCAGAAAGACTTAAAAAATATTTAAAAAATTTTATTCATCCTGATCAAAATGGATTTCTGCCAAAGAGACAAATTAAAGACAATATGAGAGTAATCTTGGACACCTTGGAATATTACGAGGCACATCCTGAAAAACAAATGGCTCTGATATTTCTAGATGCAAAGAAGGCATTTGATAATGTGAATTGGCGATTCATGTTATTACTGTTGGAACAGATGGGTTTTGCTAGAAAATTTATTCAAGCAATAGAAGCTATATACTATAAGCAAACGGCAAAGGTAATGATAGAGGGAGAACTGACAGACTCTATCAATATAAGAAAAGGAACAAGACAAGGGTGCCCACTATCACCTTTGTTGTTTGTGTTAACTTTGGAAGTGCTAAACAGAAATATTAGAGATGAAAAGAATATAAAAGGAATGAAAATCAAAAAGGAAGAATTTAAGCTGCAAGCATTTGCAGATGATCTGGTTTTCATCCTAAAAGACCCTTTAGAAACAGCATCAAAATTGATAGAAAAGATAGAGACATATGGAAAGGTGGCTGGTTTGAAAATAAATAAAGATAAGACAAAGATCTTGACAAAGAATATGCTATTAAGACAAAAGGAAGAACTGGCAGACCTATTGAAAATTCAGGTCACAAATAAGATCAAGTACTTGGGGATATATTTGACAGCAAATGTAGTACAATAAAAGAGAATAATTATATCAAACTTAAACAGCAGATAGTGCTAGATCTGATGAAATGGGAAAATTTACAACTGTCACTAATAGGGAAAATTTTAACAATCAAGATGAATATATTACCCAGAATTTTATATTTGTTTCAAACAATTCCAATTAGGCTTGGAAAAGATTACTTTGAAGATTTAAGTAAGATTGTGTTGAAATATATATGGCAAGGTAAGAAAGCGAGAATAAAGTTAAAACTTTTGCAAGATGCTAGAATTAGAGGATGATTTGGTTTGCCTGATTGGGAGTTGTACTGTCAAGCTACAAATCTGATGTGGGTTAAGGAATGGATAACAGTAAGAAATACTAGATTGTTGACATTAGAAGGACATGATTTGTTGTTGAGGTGGCATGCTTTTTTATGGTATAAAGGAACTAAAACGGGTATTTTAAAAGACATTATATACAGGAGTCTCTGTGGTTAAACTGGGAGAAGATTAAAAGACAATGTTATTTGAAAATTCCAGTCTGGCTATCGACTATTGAAGCTTTTTCTTATCCTATGATATACAAAAAGGAACAAACAGTTAGATATGGTGAAATATTGAACAAAAAGGGTGAACTCAAATCTATACAAAAACTAGAGGAACAAGGTAAAAGATGAATTGGTATTCATATGCGCAAATACATTCAAGGTATGATAAAGATTCTAAAACAGAAGGTTTCTATGATAAATTGACTGATTTAGATAAGATTTTGACAGGTAGTGATGAAAAGGTGATTTAAAAACTGTTTGAATATTTATTAGAAATTAAATTAGAAGAAGAACAAGTTAAAGAAACTATGATTGCTTGGGGGAAGAATTTTGTATAAGGGATCGATTTAGAGAAATGGCAAAAATTGTGGTCTTTTTTTTGCTGTAAGTGGGAAGGGAGAGGAAAAGAATAAGAGCAGAATTTAGAAGGAGGAGACTGCCTGGAATTTAAAAGAATCTGACTAAATCCTAACAAGACTTCTAAAAGATACATTTTAACTGGAATTTTGTAACCAAATAGTAACCCCAGGAAGAGAAAGTGAAAAAAGAAGAAAGTGTTAAAAGAAACAGCTTGTGTGTATTTGGATTGCTTGGTGACTTTGGGACTCTTGGAAATTATATTTGAATGACTAAAAATACTTGGGTGGTTGTTTGAAATTTTTTTTTACAATGGCATTACTTGTGGATGAACTGAAAATGGAATTTAAAAAATACAAAGAAGAGGAATGAGAAGGGAAGGGCTCTCTTGGCTTCGTTTTTCAATTCTTAGAAATGGTGATCGGTACCTATGAGAAGCTACAAGAAAAGACTGCGCAACAAGAAGATTGGGACAAAGAAGAAGCCATCTTTAACGAATAAGTATCTTTACTTGGGGAAGAAAGGGGAAAGGGGGGAAAGAGAATGGAGACTTTAAGACCTAAGAAAACAACCAAAAAAGGGAAAAATAAGGTGAAAAGTGGATATAATGTTAGAAAGCAACAGAAAAAGGGAACACAGAAGAGGGAAATGGAGGTGGAGAGACAAGGGGGTAAAAAGGACAGAGAGAAGAAGCAAGGGAGGAAGGAACGGAAGAGAAGCTACAAAGGTGTGGAGCAAGATGTAAAGAAACAGGACTTATTTAGAGATAATGGGTAAAAATATAACTGAAAAAGTGATTCTGCAAAGGTACATAAGATTGTATCGTTATATTTGTATTAGAAATATGTTAGAAAATTGGAAACAACATATGATTAAAAAGTGGGATAAAATAGTGTAATTCAGTGAAACTTTTGTGAACAAAATAAATGAAATGAAATAAATGAGAGAATTGAATTAGCAAGGAATGGGAATATTTAAATGACACAATGTTTTAAAATCTTTGTGAAGTGGGGGGGAAAGTAACTATGGGAAGTTTATAAGTGTTCCCATAGAAGTATGATACTTATTTGAAAAGTAATGTGTAAAATGTTTAAGATTTAAATAAATATTAATATTAACGATAGATTTGAATTGGTATGGATTGTTGTTTTAATTATATTATATATTTATATTTTTTTTCTCTTTTTAAAATAACTTTAGAATGTACTAAGCAGAATCCGAATGGAAGTTATGTATTATACTGTTACAAATTTAGGGGAAAGATATAAAGGCGTCATACTCCAATCAGTGATTACAGGAGAAATTTTGTTTAATGAGAAAAGATAATAGACAGCTGGAAACAGGACAGACAAAGAATATAAGTATAATGATCTGAATTGAGAGGAAATAAATAAAATAAAATTAAGAAAGTTAAAAGAGGGGAGAAGCTATATAGAAAATGTAGAATGGTAATAAGATATGGAATGGTATATAAAATGAGCATGAATTTGAATTTGTGTCTGTACGAAGAGATCAAGCTGCTTTCAAAAAAGATGTTTTATGTTTTGTTTTTGTTTGTTTTTGAAAATCAATAAAACTTTAAAAAGAAAATTGTGGTCTCAAAATTATAAAATGACAATGTCAATAGCATATAAAGAAAATTTGTCTAAGATGTTTTACAGATGGCATTTCCCCCCAACAAGAATAGAAAGAATGTTCAAGAATAAATCCGAAAAATGTTGGGAATGTCACCAGATACCTGGCTCATATTACCATATGTGGTGGACTTGTGCAGACGCTAAAAAATACCGGACTAAAATCCACATGTGGTTGGAAAAAATGACAAAAAAACATATAGACTTGAAACCAGAGATATTGGGAATTTTACCTGAAATATATAGTAAAGACTTGAAATACCTGATTGTAAATGTATTAACAGCGGCTAGGATTGTATTTGCTAAAAACTGGAAAAATGAGAAAATACCATTACAGGAGGAAATAATTAAGAAAATTTTGGAATGTGCTGAAATGAGTAGATTGACATTTGAAATTAGAGAACAAGAGGATAAACAATTTTATAAAATTTGGGATCTTTTCTATCAATGGTTAGACAATAAAATACAGTAATGAAATATGTAGACTTTTAGAAAATAATAAATATATAAAGATGTACTCCTTTCTTATTATATCTCCAAAATAATTTTAGGATAGATTTGGGATGATAATATGAACTGTTATAAAATAAACTAAGTAAATTATGATTATCTTGTAAAACATGAATGAATAAAAAATATAGTCAAATGATTGATTACTAATGATACTAAGGTATTTAATTTTTGATTGAAAATATGAGATTATATGCAATGTAATTGTAATTGAAGACTACGAAATGGAAGCACAAAACAATTTGTAAACCAACCGGCACACTGTATGTACACATATGGAAGATAGTTTGATGTTTTTATGTTTTGTTTGTATATGTTTGTTTTTAAAAACCAATAAAAAATTTAAAAAAGGAAAAAAAATATTTTATTTTATTAAATGTGTTTGCTACCTATCTTACCATGGTCACATGGTCACAATTCAAGTGTTTGGCTTCCTGCAGTCATACAATTGTCATACAATTGTCATCTAAGATTTTCATAACTGGCTTCTGACATGTAAAGTCAATGGGAAAGCTGGCAGAAAGTCAAATTACAGTCATGTAATGTTGAATTTACGGTAACCACAACCACAGCTGGAAATGAAAAACTACTGTTGTAAATAAGGAGTGATTTCTCCCCCTTACAACTGTTGCTTGGCGAGAGAGTTACCAGTCTCAATATGTTTGGAAAAAGAGCACTAACTCTACCCATTTTCAGGTGGACATATATTGATTTTGTATACAAAATAAACTTTATGCCAATACCTTAAACTTCTACTTTATCACCAATAGTTAGTCTTCTATCTCAGTTCTCCTCCAGTCATTCTGATGATCTTCCAGTTCTATATCTTTGGCTCTGGAACAAGAAAGAGATGCCACTATGATGAATGATCCTTTGATAACTCCTATCATTCTACACAAAGTTGATCAAGATCCTTATTTTTTTCAGCAATTCAATAAAAGGTGCTCAAGTTCATTTCCATTTCTATCTTCATTTTTGACCTGTAAACCTATTAACTTGGCTAATTTTGAAAACACTGCCTCCCCATGAGATTGAAACATGCTTTTCTTGGCGACCATAGAAATCACACGCATAAAAATGTTGTAAAAAAATAGCTTGGTGTGGTATAATATCCCCTGGAGTGATTCTTCCCTCTGATATAGGTAATCCTTGATGTAAAACCAAAGTTACAATGGCACTGAAAAGTTGCTTACAACTGGTCCTGCAGCATATCCATGGTCATGTGATCAAAATTCAGTCACTTGGCCACCGGCATCCTGGGGTCCTGTGATTGCTATTTGCTACCTTCTCAGACAGCATCTGTTGAGCACGGTCAGCAGGGGAAGCCATATTTGCTTAATGGCCACATGATTCAATTAAGAATGTGGTGACTTGCTTAACAACTGTGGGAAACAGGTTGCAAAATCAGACACAAGAACTTAACAGTCCCCTTGCTTATCAATGGAAATTCTTGTCCCAGTTGTGGTCATAAGTCAAGGATTATCTGTATATGACAGTCCTTATTCTCCTTGCCTTGAGAAAAGCCACTGAAACCTAGCTTTTTAGCCAAATATTGGGGTCCAGATATGTGAAGTCTTTTAGTTTGTTTAATTATAGAATAGAATAGAATAGAATAGAATAGAATAGAATAGAATAGAATAGAATAGAATTCTTTATTGGCCAAGTATGATTGGACACAAGGAATTTGTCTTGGTGCAAATGCTCTCAGTGTACATAAAAGAAAAGATACATTCATCAAGAGTCAAGAATCATAAGGTACAACACTTAATAATAGTCATAGGGTTATCAAGTTTGGTTCACTATTTTATATATTTGAGTGTTTTAATGATGTAGGTCATTCTTTTTTTTTTTGATCATTGTTCACAAATTTGTTGTGTGCCACCCACACAACATTATTAGGGCTGAAAACAAATATATTATAAATATAAATAAAGGAAAATATTTGTAGTTCAGGATTGAAATGAGGAGCTGCTCTCTGAACTTGCTCAAGCAAGCTCAGAGAGTACTAAGGACTACTCAGTCTTATAAATGCAATAAATAGAATAAGAAATGGGATATGAAAGGAAAACAGGATCAGGAAACAAAGCAGGAAATGTACAGCTTTCTACAAATATACAGCTCATGAATGAATATATCACAGCAATAAAATGTACAAATTGTTTAAGATTACGATTGACTAGGATTGTCTTAATTCAAAGGTAAAAAGTATAAAACATCTTCCCTCTTTCTTCCTTTCTTCCTCCCTCCCTCCCTCCCTAGTAAAGATTTCAAGTCAGCATGAAAGTGCCCTTAGAAGATATTCCATCAAGGCTTTTCATGAAGGATAGTATTAAAAAGATTAACTAACTTCAAACCAAAATAAAAATACATATGCAAGGAGTAACACAGAGTTTAGCTCAGTAAGGGACATATATATGCTGGAAAGAGAAAATCTTCTGGCATCCATAAATATATACATGCATACAGTACATATATTCTCACCATTGATGCAAACTGCCAGTTCTGACTTACGTGGTCAAGAGTTCAGCTTCATAGCGCATTAATCTGTTCTTTTCCAGTACTAGTTCAAACCATTCATGTAATAATTCAGATTCATCTTGTGTCCTTGAATCTGTTTGAGAAATTTTAAAAATGCTAGAATTATTTTTTTTCCCCATCCCAAAAATTGCATCCAATATAGAGAAGTAGTGGTTATTAAAATGTCCTCTTCCAAAATGCTCCAGTTGTATTTTCTAAGCATTTTCAAATATTACAGCTGCTGAACTGAAGGCTAGAAGTCCCAAAGGTGCTTTTTTTTTTTTCAAGAGGCAACTGGACTTTCTGGTTTTTCTTTGAAGACGTTTCTTCAAAGCTGAGCTGAAGAAACTTCTTGGATGAGAAGCGAAACGTCTTCAAAGAAATGCTAGAAAGTCCAGTTGCTTCTTGAAGAAGAAAAAAAGCACCTTTGGGACAGCCATGATCTGGTGACTGAGAATCTTTATAGACATGAAGGCTAGAAGGCATATTATTAAAAAGTTAAGTTCCATTTTTGATCCCACAGGGTTGTTCTTCACAGCAGCATGCAAGTGCTGTTATCCAGCATGGGAGCCAGCCAGCGGTGGGATCCGACCAGTGTAACTACCGGTTCGATGATTTTACATGTTGCTGCATGCGCGTGTATATTGTCGTCATCTAGGTGCCTGGACAGCTGCGCGCAGGTGCACAGCAGTTGAAAAAGCACTTTTTTCCTGTTGTGCAAAGCAGCTGCGGTTGAAAATGCAGGAAATAAAGGTCAGGTAAGAGCCCGGGCAGGTGGGTGGGCCAAAACAGCAGCAAACATAGAACCAGTTCTATGTATGCTCTCTGTTTGCTGCTTTTCAGAGCAACCGGTTCTATAGAAGTGGACAGAACCGGTAGAATCCCACCCCTGGAGCCAACAGAAAACAGTGCTGGCTTAACAAGGGGCTGATCACATTTCCAGGAATGAAGTAGAATAGAGATCTTGTCTGCACCGGAAAAGAGGGAAAATTGAGAGCCCTATTGAAGAATGCCTTCTTTAGGACCAGATATGACCATGTCTCTCTAGGGTTGGAGAACTGACACCAAAGGAGATGGTCTCCTCCTCCTTTCCCTTCACTTCTCCTGCCACTAGTGGTAAGAAAAGCAGAAGACAAGTAGGGAAAAAACAAGCCTTCTGCCACCTGTTCTCCAATTGTACAAAATGACCACTCTAAGAAATCAGAAAACTGGCACCACTGTTCTTCTCTGCAGCTATTTCCCATTTTTTCTGCCAGGTGTGGCAGGAGAAATAACTTGCCACAGACTGACCACCTGGCATACTTTGTACTAAAAAGGCAAAATTTGCTCCTTTTGAGGTGAAGCAAAAGGGCAGAGAGCTGTAAGGCAGAGACAAGTTGGGGATAATATTATGTATTCATGTCCAGCATGAATTATTTATTTCACTTATTCAAAATGCTTTTTCTCCAAATAGCTTCCAATACTTTTCAAATTCGATTTTTGAGAAACTCTCAATTACAGCATGAAGGCAGAGGATATTCGTACGGTTTGTTTCTACCATTTATATTTTAAAGAGTATCTCTCTTTCTCTGGAACACATTATACATGCTTAGTTGTTCATACAACCAGGCCTTGCATTTCTGTAAATGCACAAGGGTTTGTCACATGGTCCACCTCAGTCGGCGGCACTTCCAATTTGTGATATACAGTACAGCCTTATACTGATATATCAGATTTGGAAAAATCTGTACTTTCAGTAGGTCTCACACAAAGTAGAGATAGATAAAACAATAAAACGAAACAACCAGGATTTATCTTTTGATATCCCATTGCCAGTGATGGAATACGAACCTGTATAGAAAAGCTTTAGGGAAACAGGGATTTCAGAATTCAGCTGATGTTCCAGCTCAGGGGTGTCAAACTTTTGGTCCGCAGGCTGGATGTGTCATGCACTGGCCACGCCCACCCCCAGTTTAGTGAAGGTGAAAAAAATAACAATAAGTCACGTGACAACATGACGCCACAAGTTTGACACCCCTGTAATCTAGCTGTACTAAAATTAAGTTGCACAGAATTAAAATCGGTGCCTAAATGGGACGCTGCTCCAGAAGAACTTTAAAAGAAAAAGAGGAACAGATCACAGTTAACCTAGTCTGTGCCCCAGTAATAATTAATGGTATTCATAAGGCTAAGATTATTTGAGTTTTTTCTAATGCATACATGGTTGTAGCTCCAGTTGTGATCCTCTTAGACACATTTTGCTTTAGAGCACTTTATTTCACCCTCCACACTCTCATATTCAGTCCAGTAGCTAATGAGTAATTCCCCCTAACAAAAGAGCCTTTCATTTCACTCTCACACAATTATTAGAGGGGAGTTGCATTAATGTCATGGAAGACTACTGTTTGCAGGCCTGTCTCTAAATTTGGTTATTAAGAACCTTTGCAGCTCAATAATATTGCTTAACTGTGATGATTTTCTAATTACCATAATAACACCTATTAAATCACTTGAACTCCATAAGCACAGCCCTGCCTAAATACAGCTTAATCTAATAAGACCTGGTTATTTATTAAGCAATAAAGTACTATATTTCTAAAGGCTGAATGAACAGAACCGTAAGAGCTGTAACTATACATTAACAACATAAACATGGTTAACAGCAACATCCCCAAATTAATACATTTCTTAGGTTGTTTGCCAAATCTTCATGTAAGGTTGACAAATGAGAAATAATCAGTCCCTCTTTTAGAACAGCAGCTTCTGTCGATCAATCAATAGAGAACAGGAAAAAAAATTGACCCTAATTAAAGGAATTAAATTACTAATGATGGGGAATGGAGCAGAAATCCTCCATTTCCCAAGCCATGCCAAGTAAATAATGGCATAACAACTTAGCAAGCCTAACTAAAAGTCTGTACATTGTTGAATGCTACAAATATTCAGTTCTTAAGACTTTGGGCAGCTTAACCCATTTGTTCCATTCATTTGAGAACCCTTGTTTTTATTTTTGTTACAGTAGATAGAAATGCTTTTGACAAAGACTCTTGTAGGAGGGTTTTTTCCTCCCTTTAATAGCAGTGTCCTTGCATCAGTATCATTTGCTATGGCCTGCTTGCTTGGTGCCCCTTTTATAAGAAACTGTTGCTACTGTTGAATTAGTGCAGATGGAAAAATGAGATACCAGATCAGGGAGAATGGAGATGATCAAGTGCCTCTGATGTGTAATTTACAAGGTTGCGTATGAGCTGGAAAGATCAGCACAATTCCATTCTAACATGGTACTCGGAGCAAGCAACCAGTCTTCTTGGGGGAAACATGGAATAAGGCCAGCTCACAGCAAGAAATTTATGCTCAGCACAAGGCAAATCTAAAGTCTTTCTCTCACAAGACAAAATGCATGATGAAGACAGCAATTTTTAAAAGGTACCACCTGCTGTGGGCTGAAAAGTAATTTGGCATACTTTGGAGCAATTAAGTAACTGTTTGCTCTTCCGACCATCTGTTTTTTTTAAAAAAAGTACCATTGCTCTGCATTAGCTCTAAAGCTGCTAGAAAACATATTCAGTCCTACCTATGACATCTTACAATTGCCTGTGCTTTGGATGTGCTGGTGCCCACAGTGATGCTCAAAGGTATCAGGATGCCTCCAGACATTACATTTTATTCTGTCCGCTAAGCCAGGAGTCTTTAGCAACTTTAAGACTTGTGGACTTCAACTCCCAGAATTCACCAGCCAGCATGGGGAAGTCTGGGAGTTATAAGTCCACAAATCTTAAAGGTTTTCAAGTTTGGAGACCCCTGCACTAAGCAAAATGGTCTCCAGTGCCTACTCAAAGCTTGTCTTCCTCCTCCCTCCAGTCTTTCTATAATGTAATGTTGGTGTCACTGGAGAGAAAGGTGTCTTCTTAGCAGTGGTGGGATTCAAATTTTTTTACTACCAGTTCTGTGGGTGTGGCTTGGTGGGCAGCCTCCCCACCCCACTAACCTGCATTCCCAGCTCCATTCTCCTGTGCAGGGCAACAAAAGAAGAGCCAGCCAATCAGCTGGGATTTGGGAGGCAGAGAATAGATGGGGGCGGGCCAGTCAGAGGTGATATTTGCCGGTTCTCTGAACTACTCAAAATTTCTACTACTGGTTCTCCAGAACTGGTCAGAACCTGCTGAATACCACCTCTGCTCCTTAGGAAGGGAGGAGATCAGTGATGGGATTCAAATATTTTTAACCACAGGTTCAGTGGGCGTGGCTTGGTGGATGCGCTTTGTGTGCGTGCACACGCTTTCTGTGTGAGCACATGCCAAATGTGCACTTTGAGCAGGTGCAGAGGCATTCTAAGTCACCTTCTGCAAGCCTGCAGCTGCCTCACGGCACTCTAAGTAATAAAAGGGAAAGAGGGAGAGGGTGACTGAATGCAAAAGAAAATAGTTCCTTCATCTTTCTCTTATTCTTTTTGATATCCAAGCATAATATGTGCTGGACTTTGACCACAATAAATCAAATTAATTGATTGATCACGAGTATAAAGTGCTAGAATTCTACCCCTTTTAAATTTTGCCTCTTCTAATGGAAACGTGTACTTACATGAGATATGGCCATAAGAATACAGATTTACAATTACTTTCTGATCTCCTATATTAATTTTCAGTAATACTGGTCTCAGTTGTAGCAAAAATTCCTTTCCCTTTCCAGTATTTGTTTGTTTCAATGGGTAGATTTAAATATGCCTGCTTTCCTGCCTTCATTGGGGGGGGGGGGGGGGGGGACACTGGAATTCACTGCCCAAGTTTGTTTGCTTGTTTGTTTATTTAATATTTATGCCATCCATCTCACTTATAAGGTGATTCTGGGCAGCTTTAAATTTATCACTAAATAAACACAGGCAATTGATAACAGCTTGATTCTGGATGACTTCATGAACATTCTATACAGTAAAAGTGAATTGCCATTTTGTTTTAATTCCCCAATCTAGTTTACAAAGTGGAATGTTCTTGTGGCCCCTTGAGCATTAACCAAGCTGCCACCTACTCCAGCTGCTCCCTTGTAGGTGGTTGGGCATTGTCCTGTACATCTCAAGATTAGCCATGCTGTCCCCAACAATCATCATATGATACCAAGGGGGAAAGTTCTCACATAATCAAAAAAGCCCACAAGCCTACAAGTTTCCTGTATCCCATTCTATTCCAATCTATTATAGGAGGGTAAAAAATAAAATGCAAATGAATTTTTTTGTACAACTTCTCGAACAGTTTCAGGATGGCTGGCATGTTCTTCAAATCACACATTTTTCTGCCATTCTCACCTGCTTCTCCTCGTAGTTCCCTCTCCAACTGAACGCCATACACCTCAAGGGCTCTCTGTTGCTCTTCTACTTCTTCCAATAACCGTTGGATAGCCTGGATAAATGAATAAATTAATCTTAGAAATAAACTCTTCAAAGGTGCTGTTTTGGTATACAGATAATCCTCAACTGACAATTGCAACTGAGCCCAAAATTTCTGTTGATAAGTGAAGCGTCTGTTAAGTTAGTTTTGCTCCATTTCACGACCTTGCTTGCTACAGTTGTTAAGTGAATCACTGCAGTTGTAACAAGTTAGTAACGTGATTGTTCAGTGAATCTGGCTTCCCCACTGATTTTGCTTTCAGAAGGCCTGAGAAGCTAATTACATGAACACATGACACTGCAATGGTCATAAATAGGAGTCAGCTCCAAGCATCTGAATTTTGATCAAGTGACTGTGGGAATGTTGCAATGTCTTAAGTGTGAAAAACATTGTCATAAGTAACTTTTTTCAGTCCCTTTGTAATTTTGAACAGTCACTAAATGAACTGTTGTAAGTTGAGGACTTCATGCCTCTCTATTCAATTAGACAGTGACTCATTATGATGATATTGCTATTTTCCTAACTGTTACGTAGAGATACGGGAACTAAATGTAGGCCTTTCAGCATATGTTAACATATATTTTGGGGTGTTTTTCTAAGTCTCTATCCCAAGAAAATTTAAACACAGACTAAGGCACATATATGTATGTTTCTGCTGTCAAATATTGTCAGGAACCATAATAGTACCAACAAAAGTGCCTAACCGTTCTTTAGCAGTCATGCAACTGGGATAATAGCTACTGTACAACCTATTCCACCAGAAAAAGTATTAAGATTATCCACAATAAGAGCACACATAAAAGAGTCTGGTTGCAGAGCTTCTAAGGCCCACACGTTTTGTCAGTAAAATGTATTGATGGACATAAAGCCATCAGTCCAAGAAAAGAAAATAGCACAGGTAAAAAGGAAAATGTATAAAGCTAAAAAGAAAGGAAATTAATATAAAATTTTGAGACCTGTGGAGAGGTACAGAATTGGGCAACCTGGAATGCCAGTTTGCTTTAGTAATTAAGGTGTTAGCCTAGGAATAAAGAGACTGTGAGTTCTAGTCCCCACCTTAGGCATGAAAAACTGCCTGGGTGACTTTGGGCCAGCCATTCACTTTTAGCCCAACTCACCTCACAGTACTGTTATGAGGAAAATAGAAAGAGGAAGGAGTTTGCAATAGTGGCGAATATCTGTAGGATGAGGGTGAAAGTTCATTCTTTGAGCTTGTGGGTTGGTTTCTGAGCATTTCGTTACTAGGCTAGCTAACATCTTCAGCTGAGTTTAGGGGATGTCGGTGTCACTGTTCTTCTGTTTATAAGGGTGTGAGTGTGACAGGTGAGGGTCTTGTGATACGTAGGTGTGAGTCATCAGTGAGAGTCTTGTGACAGGTCTTGTAATAGGGAGGTTACATCAGGTCAGGGTGATTGGGAGGTGAACTGCTGGTGGTGGGGAGTTGCGTGGGTTGGTTGAGCATCAGTGCTATCTCTGGTTGGCTATGCGGTTGATTTGGGTTCTGAGGGGATTTTAGGCTGGTTGTAAGTCAATTTGTCTGTTGATGGAATTGCTTGTGGAGTTCCGGGCTTCATTGAACTCATGAGTGTGGTGGATGGTAGCATGGCCAAGGAGGGAGGAGGGAGTATTAGGTATGTTTTTGACCTTGAGTAATTTATAAGCAATAATAAAGGTGGGATAAAAATCAAACAAATAAATCTAAACATGGAACAGATAGAAGAAATGACAAAGAGAGGGCATGTTCGCTACCAGGAAATATCTTCAGAATAGGATAAATAAAAATCATTTCAAATTTCTTGTCAAGAGAACAGTGAAGGAACATATGGTTCCACTGAGCCATCTTCATAAGGACATACTAAGCATTAATGAAGGGGAATATTTTTGCAGTTTCCCAATAATATGGCAGAAGACAATGCAACCAAACTGGCCAAATATTTTACTGTTGAATACATTACATGAAGAGTAGGAAACTAAAATACCTGTGCTTTGTGAAGTCTATTTAGTTCCTTTTGTTTAACCAGTTGCTTTGTTTCTTTTTCCAACCTTTTGTTTCTTCTACTTTTGACCTGCAGAAATAAACAACAGCACATACCAAAGGAAATCAATACTTTGTACTTAGCCACAGATTTTCATAGACTTTTCTTTTAATGCGAATGTTAAGTAGCCTTTGACTATGTTAGCTGGGACAGTCTGAGCCATTTGTCAAGAAAGGCCTAACCGCAGTCTTAGTTAGGCATTAACATTTTCTGTCGATAATGGAAATGGTAATGTTCTGTCAATTAAGATAAAACACCACATCTATAAAACCAAGGTAATAATCCTGGTAGTGCTAAAGTAAACATTAGGGAATCTGGCATTACATTCAAATCTTCCTTAACTTACCACGGTGGCAAAATATGAAAGCATATATTCCACCATGAAAAGAAAAAATAGAGTACCTTCATGCAAAATGCAGGAACATTTAATATTAAAAATGTCAATATAAATGTTTTATTTATTGTGCTTTATGCCTGCTCTGATTACAAACGAAAAGAATAAAAATAGCAATAAAATGCAATGCCGTATACTTATAAGGAAAATGTAAAACTTATCTTTTCATAATGGTTGGTCTGTGGAGATCATTCTGTAAGAGGCTTTGCTCAAAGGGTCTCTCTGGACCTGCTCTTTGATACTGTGTGAAAGATCTGCAGCCACTGAAAGCCACTGAAAGCTACTGCAATCACTCTGGGTTTCTGCATGGTCACCCAAGCATCCATTTAGCTAGGATAAAGTGACCTTTGAGTTGGTGAAGTTTCAAGGAGCAGATGCAGAGGAATATTTTGGAAGTAAATAAATGATTTGGTTTCTCCACCTCCTCTTCCCTCTCTCTCTTCTCCCTCTCCCTCTCCTTCTCCCCCTCCTCCTCCTCCTCATCTCCAGATAATCAGCCATGCCTGACTAGCCTCAGCCGCTTCATAAATAGTACTGGGGACAAAGTAATGTCTTCTAGCACCTGCAGAAGAAATATGGCCACCCAACGCTACTCTGGTACTGTTCCTTCACATAGGAGTCAATCTACTGTGTTCTCATCCTTCAATGTATGACATGGTATACGGGGATATCAAAAAGCATCAGTGAGGTGCACTTTTCAGAGTTCAGCCAAACACATTAATTTCCTCAGAAAAGGAGCAGGCTAAATATCATCATCTGAATTTTGATGATAGCAAGCCCCAATACTGGTTCCAAAAGACCAGATGCAGATGTTACAGTGTTTGATTCTGGTGCTGAGGATTTAAATCTGGAATTAAAAGCAAACCCACACAGTCTTTGAGAATCAAGAAGACCACAGCTAGAAAGACTTGTGAAAGACCTGTGTTGTGGATTTAGGTAGCATTTGAGAATTCCTGCAACCAGAATCTTTTTTATTACCATATATTCACCAAATAGTGCTTTTAAATTAAAATATGAGGTTCCAGCCTCATTTGTTTTTACACAATTTTCTACCATTTAATTTACCTTCTATAATTCTATTTTTTATATCAACACGGTTATAGCCTGCAGGTTATGTCATGCATTGTAATTCATTTTCCTTTTTCTTTATTGCTTTATTGTGTCTCTGTTTATTTTAAACCTTGCTTCCAGTTATTTTTGCAGTCTGGTACTGGGACCGTCTCACTGGCACTGAGCTGCTGTACAGTTAGGCCTTTTCCAGTGCAGCTAGTGCTCAAGAGTTTGCTATAGTCTTTGTCAGTTGTTCAGTGATGCCAGTGTTCAGCCCCACTGCTTGCCAGGCCAGGCTCTTAGTTTAGGGCCTGTGCTCTAGGCTGTTTGGAATAATTGCTAACACTGAGGGCTTGGTTTCCTGCTGGTGTCTAGACCTCCAGTGTAATTGCCAGTATATTGGGCTTAATTTCCTGCCAGCACTCTGGGTTTTTTATTCTGCTACCACTAACAATCTCCTGTTCACCTCTCTCCAAGCTGCTTTCCCTATCACCACCATTTTACTGCTCTGCCTACCATCTTTAAGACTCTAGCTTTCATTTTTTTTACATCTTCTTTCCAACTTTTCTGTGTTCTTGTTCTTCTCCCTCAATGTCACCATAACCAAGCCCCTCTCTAAAAGATTGGCTCATCTAATCTAAAAGGGCAGTCAAAGTAGGTAAAGGGGGGGGGAGAGGGTGGTATTTGGCCACCATGCTTCCATCATTGTTCCTTCAATGCAGTGCCTCTCAAGGAAACCAATGTAAGAGAAGGAAAGAGTTGGGGGCTGGGATGGTGGTGGAATTAAATATGTCATCAGCTTAGAGTCCTTACATTGCCACAAATTATCCAAGTCTAGCCCTCCTTGAATTTTGTTATCCTTATCTAGTGCCAATTTAGTGCTGACTGTTAGTTGACTAGAAGTTTGTGTGTTGATCTGATTAAATATTCTGTGTTGCAAGTTAACATAAGGTCCTGATCCTTTGTGTGTGACAACCATTTGCCTTAAGTTGAGAATATGCAGGATCAAAACCTAACAAAATAAGGCTGCAGAGCTTCAGCTGTATCTGGTGTGGAACGTAGGGGACTAGTATATTTATGACTGCTCAGCAGTTTTATGCTCTACTTGAGCAACATTTGGTGGTAGCCCATTCTTGGTGCTGAGAATCTATTACCTGCTCCCTTGGCTCTTTGATCCTGTGGGTTCGACCACATTCCACATTTTGCCCCTTGGAATTCTCACAGTGAATGGCCAACTCAAATTCTGCATCCTTATAATACCAGCGAAAGACTGAGGACTGATTTATAGTCTTACCATTGGCATGGCTAGTAAGAGAATTGATTTATGGCAGTTCTATTTAACTCCCTGCTAGCATCTCATTAGGCTGTGAAACATATTCCCTTTGTGTTTTCTGCAGGAGGTCATTTAACAGGGTGACCATAGCTGAGTTTGTTCCAAAATCAGGCTGGAAACCAGCCTGAAAAGGACTGTGTTAATAGGATTCTTCCAAGAATGTCAGCAGTTTTACAGGCAATATTTTCTCAAGCACCTTGCCTGTAAATGGGTTTTTGTAACATGGCTGTCATTGGTGAAAGTTGTATTTAGTTATCTTTTTTCTTCAGGAATGGATGTTCAACTTAGATATTCCCCTTTTGTAACATGATTAAACCACAATGGGACAGGGAGTAAGAGTTGGGGGAGTGTCAATTCTGATACCACCACTTTGTCACAGGGATTGCCAAATGGAAACTTATTTGCACAGCCTGACTGAGTATGTTCATAGTGAGGATGCAGGAGTTGGGTGGAGGGGGCCTGCTCTTTATTTAATAAAATCCAAAACACCTTGGGTCTGGCATTCAAGCTGGGTAGTAAAAGACTTTATCCTTAAAATACTTTATACAGATTGAGTTTGTTGGAATAGATGAAAATAGACCCTTGAGCAAAATAAAGCATTCTAATAGGCAATTACCTGAGATGCAATGGAGTAAGTAAGCCTTCTTTATAACCTTCATGACTTACAAGAGGCATGATTGTATCTACTAAGCCACATATCTCACTTCCAAGTGGGTCTAACCATCCCTTTGCTATAGTTGTTTACTCCAATGCTTCATTGTGTGGAATTCTCCAGAACAGGGGTCTCCAACCTTGGCAACTTTAAGACTTGTGGACTTCAATTCCCAGAGCAAAGCTGGCTGAGGTACTCTGGGAGTTGAAGTCCACAAGTCTTAAAGTTGCCAAGGTTGGAGACCCATGCTCCAGAAAATAAGGAAAAAAGCACAGACTCTACAGCAGTGGTCCTCAACCACCGGTACCAGTCCGTGGATCATTTTCTACTGGGCCGCCAGTACTTGGGCGCCGCCATCTTGTTTTGATGGCACTTGAGAAAGTGCTTCTGAGTGAGCTTGTCGGTCGTCGGTTGGAAAGCGGTGTTTGGGTCCTGAAGGAATCCTCGCACCTTAGTTTCATCGAAGGGTGGGGTGGCTTCGAACGAAGAGCCGTCCCGATGGCGGCGGAGTCTCGTGTTACTCAGGAGGAGATTAAGAGCCCAAAAAGCCCATCGACAAAGGTACAAAGGAGGAGTTGAAGGTGGCGGGGAGAAGCAGGGGACGGCTGGTTGGCCGGTCACTCAGCTCGCCTTGCCTTGGTCGTGCGTGCTGATGCTGGTACCAGTCCGTGGATCATTTTGTGATGCCAGTACCGGGCCGTGGTACAAAAAAGGTTGGGGGCCACTGCTCTACAGCATCAAAAGTGGTAAGATTGTGTCAACAGTCTGTTCTATTTTTCCATTACTGAATCACATGTTTTGGTTTCTGGAAAATCTTCCCAGGCAAATACTATCGAGCAGTAGAGGTAATGGACACTACGAGACCATACTTTCCATGTAGTGATCTGTTGGGTAGTCTTAATACCCTTAAAATGCAGCTGACCTAATTTGAAGAAAAAAATCCATCCTAAAGTTCTATAATTTTGCATCAAAGACCAGCTTAGCTTTCTCAACAAAGGAGAATATCAGGACACCAAATAATATTCGCCATCTTGACTCAACTTTGTGCAAAGCCCTTTTAACCAGCCAAATTAGGCTCTTTAGCAAATGAGTTGGTATTTCTTATAGATCACTGAGAATCCATCCTCACAATCCCACTGCTGGGCTAAAGGTACACTGAAAATACAGGTGGACAAAGCTGTGTCGAGCTCACACAATCCAGGTTTCAGTAATACATGCCACATCATTTTCTTCATTCACAATAACATCTTAAATAGTGAAGTATAATTGTGAATTTTGTTTAATAGCAAACATCATCAAGGAATAAGAAAGAGAGCTAAATCTGTAGAAACCAGGTGATGACCTGCAGCAATCTATGTCCTCTGGCCATTAGGTATTTTCTACCCCGGTCATTCTTCATTTCTAATTAGCATTTATCTGAAGTTGTGTGCCACCACTGCCATCCCCAGGAAACATTTAATCTTCCACATTAACATAGAGAAAAAAGTTATGGCAAGGTCAGAAAACCATATACCAAGCTTATTTATTACAGTTATGGACTGTGGCATTAAAGCAGCCTAATGCCTCCAATTCTTTTCTCATCTAAGCTGGAATGACTTCAAAACCTTTCCAACATTTAGAAAACCCTCTGATAGCCCACGATCATATTCAGGAGAAAGAAAAAGAAAACACATATGTGTAAATATCTGACACATATATCCACACAGACACAGCCTGACAGTTTTCTCAGAGGGACAGCCCTTCTTGATGTGGCCAAAGTTAGCTTCACCTTCATGCTGTTCTCCCAACCAGCAATTTCTGGCAAAACCTCTACTTTGCCCTGAAAGTCAACCATTGCAAATTGTTTTCTATCACCTCCCGCTTTCTTTCTTCAAAGTGAGCCAAAGGCTGTAGAAGCTGTGAGGTGAGGCAGGGAATGAGCAAGTGGAATCTGCTCTCAGAAAGAAGCTTCACACTTGCATTTCCAGGTTAGTGGCTGTTACTATTTTAGTTGGTTGGCTTATTGGCTAACTTCAAGAGCTCCTCCTTCATGGAATTCCACTAGTGAAACAGCTGATACCTATCACAGATGACTGAAATGGCTGAGATTTTGTACTATCAGAGAGACAGAACAAGCCAGAAGACTATCTTAGATTTGGTTGCTATTCATATTCTAGAGGGAAGTAGGAAAACCTTAAGATAGATGTATTTTAAAAAGAGAAGTTCAAATCATATTAAAAACAAAAAAGGGCTTCAACATTACTTAAAGAGAAAACTTTGATAAGCTATGTAAAACAGTTTAATAATTGCCCCAATTTCCTAGTCAGTGGAAGATGGATGGATTGCAGACTCAAGAGATTTGATGGACAACTTTGACAGATGATGGTGAGAGATGGTTGCTGAAATAGATGGTCTTGTGACTGTAGTGAAATAACATAAAGTCTTATTTGATTCAAGCTCAGTTCCTGGGAACTTCATGGGGACAATCTTGCCGTCTTCTTGGCAGCATTCAGGAAATGATTTTCAGCGTGACTTTTTTTCAACTTCCCAGTCTAACCTACAACCCTCATTGCAATACTCATCAAGCCATCCTGAGCTTCTTAGACCAAACAAGGTCATCCAGGTGTTTTGGGTCCAACCTCTGTCTTATTATTATTGTTATATTGATTGCACTCCTATCCTGCCTTTTGAGACTGTAGGGCAGTTTCTAGTCTGGTGCCTTTAATCGTTACACTTTAATTCAATACCGACAATGCTACCATCCTTTAAAATGATCTTGATAATGTGTCTGAATGGTCTAACAGTTGGCAACTCCAAATCTCAACCAACAAATGCTCTGTCCTACACATTGGTAAAAAAAATCTATATACCAAATACAAGCTAGGTGGATATGACCTTGTTGATGACTCTCACTCTGTCGAGGACCTTGGAGTTCTCATATCGAATGATCTAAGCACCAAAGTTCACTGCAACAGTATTGCCAAAAAGACTTTAAGAGTTGTAAATCTAATTTTATGAAGCTTCTCCTCTGGTAATACTGATTTGCAAACTAGGGCATTTAAAACCTTTGCTAAACCAATACTTGAATTCAGCTCTGCTGTCTGGAATCTGCACTGTATATCTGACATAAATACAATTGAGCGAGTCTAGAAGTGTTTTAGCAGAAGAGTGCTACATTCCTCTATTCGCAACAGAATACCCTACAGCACCAGATTTGAGATTCTAGGCTTAGACAACCTTGAACTACGCCGACTAAGATTGGACTTAAGCATAGTACATAAAATCATATGTTACAATGTCTTACCAGTTAATGAATATTTCAGCTTTAACCACAACAACACAAGAGCACATAACAGATATAAACTTAATGTAAACCACTCCAAACTTGATTGCAGGAAGTACGATTTCAGCAACAGAGTGGTCAATGTCTGGAACTCACTACCTGATTCTGTTGTCATCTGCTCAAATCCCCACTTCTTTACCCTCAAACTTCTATTGACTTCACCCCATTTCTAAGAGGTCTGTAAGGGGCGTGCATAAGTGCACAATCGTGCCTACCATCCCTATCCTATTGTCCCCAATTATTAGTTCCTATTTCTTATATTTAAACTTATGTTTATTCTTATTTCTATTATATTGTAAGCATTTGACAAAATAAATAAAAAAATAAAAGTGCACTAAGATGGTGCTTGCTTTCTCATTCTCTCTGTGTCTCTACATCAGTGTTCCCCAGTCTTTCTGGCTGCATGGATCACCAGTGACGACAGTATTTGGCTCAGTATTTGTAAACAGCAATGGATCATGCCCAGTATTTCCTAGTCGAACCACAGAAAACTATAATGATCTAATACATACTGATTTTACAGAAGACAATGTTGAAAAAGCACTACGCAATCTAAAACCATCTCTATCTATTGGACCGGATGGAATATATGCCTACTTCTTAAAAAAGCTATCCACTGCCATAGCCGAACCTCTAAGCATAATCTTTGGAAAATCTTTCAGGACCAGCTCCTTGCCAAAACTATGGTCACAAGCCACGGTCATCCCCATCTTCAAAAAGGAAGATCCCAGCCTAGTTGAAAATTACAGACCAATCTCTTTATGCTGCGTCACCTAGTAAAGTCATGGAATCAATTATTAACCAATCCATTATCCTCCACTTAGAGACAAGCAGCTTACTCTCTAATAAACAATTTGGTTTCAGAAAAAAAAACTACCCTGTAATCTGCAACTCTTACACTGCAAAAACATATGGACTACACAACTCGATCAGGGCAAAGCAATAGATACAACCTACATAGACTTCTGTAAAGCCTTTGATTCAGTGGTACATGACAAACTACTCCTAAAATCTTATGGTATCTCTGGACAACTGCTTTAAATATGTAAAATAATTTGTAGGAGAACATTTGCAAAATTAGGTGTTCAGGTCATCAGTAGTTATTTTGATTTAAGTTAAATAAAGAGAGAGACCGAGAGAGCTCCTACAGCCATTCAAAGCAACCCACAAGGACAATCCACAAGGGTGAACTGTATTTTTGTGGCTAAGTGCCATATTCATGTGTAGTATGCCAAAAAGCCAAGTTGAAAGAGTTGGCAGGGCCTGGAGAAAAAGTAGGTGGAACTGGAGCTAAAAAGGGCTGGGCATAAATATTAGATAAATGAAAACAATCGACAGAAAGCAGTAGCCGGCCAGATTCCTCCAAGAAACAGTAAGAAAGCTTTAGCAGCAGGCAGACCACACATTCTCATATATATAAATATATACCACCCCTGAAATGAAAGTATATACATGCCTACATACTTTCCCTCCCTCCCTTTCTCTCTTTCACACACAGAAACAGACACACACAGAGTGTACAGAAGGTAAACTTATCCTGTTTAGCATTTTAATAATACGTTATTCTGTTGTTTATTATAACATTATGTTATTCTGTTATATAAAATCAATGCCCAAGCCTTTAATATGCCTGCAATGTTTTTATTTTACTATTCCACCCCCTCTCTTTGTCCTTATTCTGGCTTGCATTTTTCCTGTGCCCAGCATGGAAGACCCAATGTGGAAGGAGCTTTGGGATTCACACAAAAACTTCTGACTTCGCAGTTTGCGGTTTTCAGCTACCCACTAGCTTGGCTGATACTGGGAGTGCAGCTTAGCACCATATTAGGATAACATCAACTTATGTTATTAGGACAGCATTGGCAACTGCCTACTGTCCTATCTTTTTAGGACTCTATGGAGCTTAGAAGTGGTGAAATTGAAGGTGCTATTTCCTACCAAAACTCTGGAAAGGAACAAAGAACAAACAAACCCTGGCTTTGTCTCCTTGAGGCACACTAGCTTATCTCTTCCTCCCCTCAGGCCAACTTAGACATTATTCCCCTTAAATGTTCTCGTGCCTCTGGAAAACTAAAGTTTGCCAACCTTCATATTGGAATATTTATAGGTTTGTGGAGTAAGAGAATGAGAGTTCCCACCGCTTTTTAGCAATTGACCAGGTTGCATGAAAAAAGTGCTTCAGTAAGGAAATATTTTTCCAAGTAGCTTCAGCTTGCTATTTTATACTTTTTCCATTCTCAGTAGGGGATTTCCAATGGACTTTGGCTAATTTCAAAATACATTATGCAGGATTATCACTTTTCGTTTTGTTCCTTAAAGATGGGTGCAGGACTTAGTTGGAAGATCACCAAGATGAAACCCCAGGGGTGTGTGAACTAGATAAAAGAAATTGAAAATGCATTCCAGAGGGAGACCATGGCAAGCCATGTCTACATTGCTGCCTAGGGTGCATTCTTGTAGTTCCCTAGACTCAAATTGGATTCCAGGAAATGTTACTTTTAAGATTTAGGTCCACCAAATAAAGCTCTGCTGCAAAGAAATTGAAATCATAAAATATTATTGCATATTTCATCATTTAAATTTGTTTATTATTTTATTATTGCACCTAATGGACTCTCTTCAGCCAATCTTAGTCGTTCTTTGTTACCTAAACTTATTAATGTGGTATTCCATTTATCTGAAATAGTATAGGGTTTCCTGCTTGAGCAGGGGTTGGACTAGAAGACCTCCAAGGTCCCTTCCAATTCTGCTATTCTGTTATCTTAAGGAGTCTTCTACAAAATATAGCTGGTCATTCATGCTGCCTCTGTGGAAGACTAGTTAAACTATTATTCCCTTTCCCCCTTAAGTTTCCTTAACATGCTATTAAAGAGACAAATAGATGATTGCATCAAATGTCAATCATTTTTGTAATCAAGTGAAACCAGCAAATGTTTGAGAGGAAACAGCCTTCAATAACTTACCAAGCGTTGCGGTGAAGGCTGATATTCCCATTCGCCATCAGAGGAGGATGAGCAATAGACAGCTATTGCTTGTTTCTTGTCAGGTAGACCTCCAGATCCTGAAAGAGAATCAAACTGCTCAATGACATAGCCTTTATTCTTTTCCTAGGATCCAACTTCAACCCCTTATGCTGCAGCTGCTCATAGCTTCTCAAAGCTAAACTGAACAACAATTTGTAAACCTGATTACATTAAATACATTTTGGCTACTGTTCAAGGCTTTCACTTCCTGGCAATCCTGTGCTCATCCTCACAATATGAATATATCAAATTTTATGTGCAAACAATGGCTCACCCATCTTAAAAATTAGGCCTGTTCTTAAAATGCATATCACAAGTTAGCCACATTATCTCACACCATGGGGCATAAATAAATGCACCAAAGTTGAGCCAGCTCTTAAACAAATTACTCTTATGTGGCTTGTAGCATCTGGCACCCATTTTTCTTCTGTGACATCTGCTCAGTGTAAAATAGCTGGCGTCAGAATGTCTGGTCATATTTTTAAAGAAGTTACAAATATAATCAGAAGCAAATGGACGCCTTGATGGAGGCTTTATCACTCAGCCTTATGCAGCATAAATATTTCATTAATGAGGTCTAAATAAATGTCACTTATATTTTCACTCTCTCAATCTCTATCACAGCAAGTATTAAATAATATGTGCTGTTTACAAGCACACACACTGCAACACTGTAGAAAGCTCAATGGGAAAGGAAGGATTTCTGGGAATAACTTGCATTCCAAGTTGATTTCATTATTATGCCCTAACTCTACTTGTTACCTAGGTCATCAGCATTATGTTTTAACAGGAACTGAACCTGCCCTCCTAACAATTTACTTGTCTAATCCATATACAGCTCCTCTTCATAAATTGAACAACAGAAGCACAAGGAACATCTGCTACTGCACTTAATTTGCTGCAAGATTAATGATTAACACCTGGATTCACTTATGTTCAGGACATGAGTGACAAGGACACATTGTTTAAGATGATTGAGAGCTTCTTGCTTAATTTCAGATGAGTAAGTATGAATTTGCTATAACTGATGGCAGAAATGCATGTTGTACAAGCATGCAGAGATGTTCCTTTGCTTTGGAGGGACAAAACACTATTTGGGAGAGCTTAGCCACACAATGGAAGTTTATGATCCAGGAAGGTTATTTTTCAATGTGCTGCTTTCGACAGGTCATGCTGCTACCATGATTTTAAGCCAAAGAGACCATAAAAGACCATTAAGGCCAGGAGCCATAGTTAGAGAAAATGCCCTGATAATTCAGAGTGACAGAAAAACAAACCAGACAACAACTGAGAAGGAGAGCAAAGTCCCATATTACAGGTTATGTTAAATAGAACCCTGAATCAGAAATCTTTAAGGATGACAGAGATATCAAAACAGTAGCAAAATATACAATATTTTGCATTCCTGTGGCTTAGAACATGCTAAAATGTTCAAGGAGTACTGAAGAACCCTTGAGAAAAGATTCTCTGCAACCATGCCATTTTTGAAATGCATTCAAATAAATTTCATGAAAGAACTCAATCAAATCCACCTGGAAATAAAATAAAAGTTCATAAATCATTTTACATTAGACTCAATTGGGATAAATTTGCATTTTAAGAAAGAAACATTCAGAGCAAAGTCCCCCCTCCCCCAAAAGACAGTCCGTGTCTTTTTATGTGTACATTTAAATTAGGTTAGACTTTATAGCACTTGACATTCCTCAGAATCTCAAGCTATGCTAGAATTCTAGGTTGGGGTTAGATCATACCAAGGCTCTTCAAAGTTGGCAAGTTTAAGACTTGTGGACTTCAACTCCCAGAATTCCTGAGCTAATATGACTGGAGAAGGAATTCTGGGAGTTGAAGTTCACAAGTCTTAAAGTTGTCAAGTTTGAAGACCCCTGGGCTATACTAACAGAAGAGATTAAAAATCAAGATCAGGGTACAGTAGCAGATCTTTCTACAGCTATAGTCCTACCACATAATGCTATAAGCACTGTTGAGCCTAAAAAGAAGGGTCCCCTCCCTCATCTATCTATATCCTATGAATGATTAGCCCCTTCTCCTCACACATAAACAACTGATCCATGCCCAACCTAATGATTCCATGAGATTATTAGATAGCTATTAGATGAGTAATACTTAAGGAATGCAATAATTTAAATCATTTGCCATCTTCACAAATGGAAAGAAAATCTGGGCCTATCCTTTATATCAGAGGTCTTCAAACTTGGCAACTTTAAGACTTGTGGGACTTCAACTCCCAGAATTCTCCAGCCAGCAATGCAGCAATTCTCCAGCAATGCTGGCTGGAGAATTCTGGGAGTTGAAGTCCCCCAAGTCTTAAAGTTGCCAAGTTTGAAGACCTCTGCTTTATATGTTCTACTAAAGAAAGGTTGTTAGGAATTTTCTGTCTCTCTGATTTTTCTATATTTTTCTGCATTATTCTGCATTTTTATGATTCCCATTCCATTTCACAGAAAAGAAAGTGCTTTCAAAACAATATGAAAGAAGAGAAAAACATCTGGAAATCTTTCATTATCCTGTATGGAGTTCTTGCATTTAATTTAAATATGATTAAACTGGTGGGTAAATTTGAGTATCCTGACTTTCAGCATAAGTTTTGGAACAGCCAGCCATGCTAGACTTCTACATGTAACATTACCACTCTCCATTATTTTCTTTATAAACTGGGCCTGCAAAGCTCTCTAACTTCCTACATTTCAATTATATCTCAAAAGAAGACATCAGAGAAAGAACATTTTCTATAAAGAAAGTTTCAGTCTAGGAGATGGGCAGCCAAGAAGACTGCAGAATGCTGGATAGATATATTAAAAAAGTGATCACGAGCCAATCCTCTGTTCCCTTTCAAAAATAATGGAAGTTCAAGTGCAGCATCAAATAGGAACTCTAAAAAACATTTTCAAAAAATAGCAATAGCACTTAGACTTATATAGCAGCAGCTCCCAATCTTGAAATTCTAAAAAACATTTACAAAAAGATAGCAATAGCAATAACACTTAGACTTATATGGCAGTGGCCCCCAACCTTTTAGGCACCAGGGACCGGTTCCTTGGAGAGAGGTTTTTCCATGGACCGGAGGGGGCATGGTTTTTTGCAGTCTGCATCCCATGGATGGGGCTTCACTTGTTTGCACAGCCCAGTTTCTGGCATGCTGTGGACCGGTGCCAGTCCACGGACTGGGGGTTGGGAACCCCTGCTACATACCACTTTACTGTGCTTTACAGCTCTCTCTAAATGGTTTCCAGAGTCAGCATCTTGCACCCAACAATCTGGATCCTCATTTTACTGAGCTTGTTGAAGGATGGAAGGCTGAGTCAACCTTGAGCCGATTAGAATCAAAGTTGCTGGAAGTCAGCAGAATTAGCCTGCAATACTGCTTTCTAACCACTGCGCCATCATGGCTCTTCTAAAGAACATTCTAAACATTCACCCTGACCTAAACATCCAGAATCTCTTTCATAAGGAAAATTGAAGGACAGATCCTAGTGTGGTAATATAATAAAATACAGCACATATTTCAAATGAGTAATATGTCATCCTTAATTTAAAATATTTTTAAATAGCATGCTTACCCAAATATTCTCTTTTGGAAGAATCACTTAGTACTTTATCAACATCGAAGATGGTAGTGGGAGACACAGCTGGAGTTAACAAAGAGCTTTTAATGCTGTCATCTTTATTCCTCAAACTGCTGAACAGATTCCACACATTGTTCCTCTGAACTGGACCATCTAGTATAGCATTATCACGTTCCGTTTTGTTCCTTAAAGATAGGTGCAGCATGTTCTTTTGATTACAATCAATATAGGACTTTCGAGCATTTTCTTTAAGGGTAAATCTTTCTAAAAGTGTGGGAACATCAACTTTATTAGAGTAAGAATGTCTATTGTGAGTACTGCTGGATGATCTCTGATGCACATCATATTTTAGAAAATATGCTCTTTTATCATCATACCGACAATCTTCAATTGAACCGGAAAAATTAGAGATAACTGAACTCCTGGGTTCAAAGCCCCGTTCTGTAGGATTCAACAGAAATAACTCTTGTGTTTGTGCACTGGAATCTTCTTGAATCTTAGTGTTTTTCCAAATTTCAGGATGAGCCAGGTTATGAGAGTAATTAAAGGTATTTTCCAAAGAAAATTTGGTATGCACATCTTGGCTTTTTTCCTGACCTTCTAGTATGGATTTTCTAATGTCATCAGCCATTAACTTCAGTGACAACTTAGGCTGAGCAGCAATGGGGCATTTAGGAACATATTTTGGAAATTTCTCCTCAGGGTCCCATATTGGTGAAAGGTTATCTGAGAAATCAGGAGACCTAGTATAACTAGGTTGCTTTGGAATGTGTTCATTTCTACTAAGATAGGAATTCTTTGGCCCTGGAATTCCTTGGCCTTGGTGAGCAATTCTTTCCCCTTCTGGTGGAGAATTCTTCAGAGCACGGGTTAATTTCCTCATTATTTTACTTTTTGCTTTGTTTAAGGGTTTGTCTTGCTGTTCCTTGGCAGGTGCTGAAGTAATTTTATCTCCTTCATCAAGGTTTACGGAGGATATATCTGAGTTTTTTGTAAACAATCTTGAAGTCAGTTGTTGATTGGTTGCTGCATCGTTTCCTAAATATTGTTCATCGGTACCACCCTGGTTGACACCAAGTTTAAGAGAACTGGGAATGGTAGCCCAATCAGCATGAGAAAGGGATTCATTATGTGCCACTAGATAACTATCTACGCAGCAGCGATGAGGAATATAGAAAGGAATTTGTCCAGGTTCCTTGGTGGCTTTTTCTTTGGATTGAAATTCTGCGCCGTGAGGTTGGAAATGTCCTTTCATTTCTGGAATGTTGTTGGGATATGTTAGCTGTAAGGAATGCATAAAATGGTTATTTTTAGAGGAAAAATGTAGTTCCTCAGCCATGCTTCTATCTGGGAAGAATTTTGAAACAAATCAGTTCTAAAAAATGCACACATAAATATCAAGTCAACAGAGCGAGCTGAAAACCATTGAAAAGATGAAGACCATTCCAATAAAAACAAAAAAGGAACAGTGTTGATGGTGATGTTAGCTAAGGTCCTCTGAGAGCAATAAAAATATTTGTGGAGTTGTAATTGTAGGAGTCTTTATTTGTAATAGGCTGCCTCACAGCTAAATAACATGCAAACCTTCTAATTGTGTCTTCCAACTATCCTCATTATTAAAAGATCCATATTCCTCAACTGTGTGGCTCAACAAACACACAACTTATTTAAGTGAAAAGCTGGCCTACATTTGATGGATGGATGGATGGATGGATGGATGATGGATGGATAGATGGATGGACCTTAGCAATTTTCTGCTGCACTTAGCTGCAAAGGTCTGAAACAAGAATCTCCAGCCAAATTGAAGTAGAATAAGAACACTGAATTACGCAGTGTGGTTGAATAATCAATAGCATCTCTTTGACCTGATTGGACTTGGACTATTGGCCAGATGCAATTTAGCCCACAACTTTTATTTTTTAATAAATTGATTAAAAGCTTTAAATCCCATAACTTGGATTCAAAAACTCTTCCAGGTACACAGAGTGTTCTTTTTTAAACTTTGGAAACATATGATCCATTAGACTAGAGGAAACCCAGCAGTGAAATGGAGGACAGAGAAGAATCTTCATTGATTTCCTCACCAGTTCCTTACAAAATCTGCTCTGGAAGGCATTTTCTTTTGGGGAGGGGAGTCTGTTGCTTTTCTTTATAGGATATCTAAGATATACAGCTCTGCAAATATAACTATGACAGAAAAGAGATTACATGTAACGGATAACAGATAAACAAGAGTTGGAAGGGACCTTCCAACTAGTCCAACCCCCTGCCCAAGCAGGAGATCCTACACCATTTCGACAGATGGAAGTCCAATCTCTTCTTGAAAGTCTCAAGTGATGGTGCTCCCATAACTTCCGAGGGCAAGATGTTCCATTGGTTGATTGTTCTCACTGTCAGAAAGTTTCTCCTTATTTTCAGGTTAAATCTCTCTTTGTTCAGTTTCCATCCATTATTCCTTGTCTGGCCTACAGGCACTTTAGAAAATAGCTTAACCCCTTCCTCCCTGTGGCAGCCCCTCAAATATTGGAAGACCGCTATCATGTCTTCTCTGGTCCTTCTCTTTACTAGACTAGCCATGCCCAGTTCCTGTAACATTCTTCATGTGTTTAGTCTCCAGTCCCCTAATCGCTCTTCTCTGTATTTTTTCTAGAGTCTCAACATCTTTTTTATAATGCGGTGAACAAAACTGGATGCAGTACTCTAGGTGTGGTCTTACTCAGGCTCTATAGAGTGGTATTAGTACCTCACTTGATCTTGATTGAATCCCTCTGTTAATGCAACTTAGAATTGCATTAGCTTTTTTGGCTGCTGCTGCACACTGCTGGCTCATATTTAGCTGGTTGTCCACTAAGACTCCAAGATCCCTCTCACAGTTACTGCTATAAGGCCTGGTTTCACCCAGCCTATATGTGTACTTTTGGTTTTTCTTGCCTAAGTGTAGGACTTTACTTTTTTCTACATTTCTCTACATGTAGTTTTCTTCCTGCTATAAAAATCTACAGCAAGTTAGACATTTATGGACAAAAGAACATTGCTCTGCGCAACTCTGCTTTTTCATTTCTGGACTAGCCACTCATATGAACCCCCATAACATGAAGCAGTCCTCAAACAAAGCTCAAAGTTACCTGAAGTCTGTCTAGCCATTGTCAACTTCTATCACATCTTATCCTATTGGGCCCTAATTGTAGCAGTGGAAGAAAAGGTATTTCAACATAGAGCATTTCTCTTTTTTGCCATCTTATTGGATGGCAGTATGGAGGCTCTATTGAAGGAGATCAATGAAACCTGGGATGTGATTAACTCTGTTCCTATATCTATTCTAATAAAGGGTCATAAGGAAGCATAATGGATGCCATTTCCTGCATGGGGAAGTTTTGTAAGGCATGAAATATAGAAATATTTAAAGAATTAAAATTGTAGTTAGATAAGGGACATCAATTGGCAGTGATCTCACTTGAAGTCAACGCTTGTTTGACCCTCATTTTCAAGAAACTAAAAAGTTAATAGTTATGTCCTTGTAAAAGCAGAGCTCATGTTAAATATCACATATATTACCATACCATTTAGACAGGATATGTATTTTTTTTTATTAACTGAAAAATGTAGGGGACTTTGTTTATTCGTTTTTTCACGATTATTCTATTTGCAGTATATTTATTGTAGAACAAATTTGTTACACAAATTCTGAAACAACTACCAGGAATTCTGGTTGTAGAAAATGAGACTTTTCCATTTCCAAGTAATAACAGGCAAATGTTCTATTTGAATTTTTGTCAATATTTAATATTTTTCCGTGATGAAATAAAATGGCTTTCAAATAGACACTACAGCTTGGGCTTGTTGAACCTGGTACAGTTGGCAAAGTCAGAGGCTATTAACAGTGTCCAGAATTTTTCAAAGGTCATTCTTAGAAAAATTATCAGACAATATAATGTTGCCTTTCCTGGAGCTGAACCATGGAAAACAGCATAGTCATTCTGTTTTTGTGTACTTTTTTCAAAGCCTGCCCACCCTGAGTGCATCCATGTGAGAGAAAACAAAACAGAACAAAGACAGATTTGCTACCCTGCTGTTTTGTAAGATAAGCAAAGGTTAACATTCTTCTCCAACCTTGTTGGAAAGGTGCCAAACTGAAGTGGAACACTTTTGCTTTTTTGAGGGGGGGGAGCGGTAAGGAATCCATCAACTACTGTGGCAAATATTTGAAGGGGAGCAGCTGGAAACAGGAAAAAGAAAATTCTAACACCCAAGAATCTTTGGGAAAATAGGATTGTCAGGAGACTGGAGAAGAAGGAAGGGAAATAAAGGTAGGGCTGGAAAGACAGACAGACGAGGAGGGAAATGAATTTGAGAGAAAGCAGCTGAAAATGTGATGGAGAAAAAAAATGGATGAGCAACAGTGGGTGAAGGGGCGGGGGAGAGAAAATATCAATACCACGAGGATGTCTGTCTGCAGGGTAGAGTTTAAAAAAAAAACCTTTCAAGATGGCAGAGGTGCAATCAAAGCTTTGCCCATTTTTAATGTGCATCAGTACAAAAATGGGCAACGCTTTGGTTGCACTGTTGCAGTTGCCATCTTGATTTTTTTTTAAACTATAACCCTGTGGACACCTCTGGTATGAGGCGAGGGAGCATAATGGGCAGAATCTAACCATTTGCAGTTTTGTGCCAGGTAGCTTTGTAGTTACTAGCCATAGAAGCGAGCAAGGGAACAGGGAAAGCCATCTATGAAGTTCAACCGGGAAGCTCGAGGGATAGTTTTTGTTTTTTTTAATAGTCTGTCTAAATTAAATCCATACTTTCCCATCCCACATTAGATGGGAACAAGAAAACCCTTCTGCTTCTATGATCTTTAAAAACAAGCCTCAGGACAAGAGTCTGTAGTTGTGAACCACCATACTTGTGATTTGTTTGTATTCCTGGCATATATCTGTAGCAGCTATAGACTCATAATTGTTTTGGGGTGGTGGGGGAAAGCCCCAGAACAAAAGCATAGCCATACTTCAACTGATGAGAGAAGATGAAGCTGTATCAGATACAGGAAAGGAGACACTAATAGGAGCTATGAAGGGAAGCAACTCTTCCGAAGAAAATTGAATGAGGAAGCAAATGTAGTGAAAAAGAATGACCGTGGTTTTATCTTCACAGCCTGGTCACCATCCTTCATGGTATTAAAATGCCCTAATAATTATCCTTGTAGGTCATGTCACAGAAAACATTGCTGTTGTGTCATCCTCAGCCCACCAGAGAGACAGCTGTCCCTGCTTTGACACATGCACAGAGATACGTGCCCCACCTATCATTTGGGTCGGTAAAATAAGTGGAGGGAACTATTTTTAAAAACATCCTTGTTCTGTCCCACAGATCTGTGTTTAAAAACAGGGCCTGTGCAGAATATCTACTATCTCCTGGGAAGCACCCACTGGTCCTAAACACTGCTGGTCATCCATTAGTTCCTGCAAAAGCAAGAGAACAAAAATCGCCTACGTTACTGACTCTGCAAATCATCCACACCTGGGATGGATAAATGATACCTAATAAAGGAAGAGGGCATTGATTGTTATACCAAGCAGAAATAGCTCCTCTAGTATACATTTGTTAGTCATATATTGGGAACAGGTTTTGACAGATGATTACAACCCTGGATTTAGTGGTCTGTCAAAACTTATTTCTTCCCTTAGGGATGGTGGTGGTTGAAACCACTAGAAAAATCCATTAACATTTTTATTAAATTGGTTTTTCCCCCCATCCTAGCATTTCCCTCGCAAGTGCGTAGTCTGCTTTTTACAAATCAACCAAAAGTTGACCCATTAGTTGTGACAAGAGTTGATTCACGGGCTGAGGGAGTCACTGGCCCAAAGTCACCCATCCATCTCTCATCTCTTCAGTTTTCTAGCGATTGTTTAACCACTAGGCCAAACTGGCTCCTCTATATTCATTAAGTTATCGTGCACTGAATTAAATTTCTTAGGACAGCAACAGAGGCCTTTTCGTTGCTGAATAAAAATAGTACTTTCCAATGAGAGTAGTACAAAGGACACCAGCCTTTTGTTGTTGTTGTTCTTGTTGTTCTGTTCTGTCTCAGAAATCAGGGTATAACCCGGATTCTGAGATATTGTGCTACATCCTAGATTATACCGGGAGCCAGACTTGATCATCTCTTCAGTCCCTACCGACTTTATGATTCTATAATTCATATTAAGGTATTTGGAGGAAAGCATTGTAACGTTGGAGAACCAATGTTGTTCAACTATTGGTTGTCCAACCAATTAAGATTGGACAACCATTTGGTTTCCTGCTTGAGCAGGGGGTTGGACTAGAAGACCTCCAAGGTCCTTTCCAGCTCTGTTATTCCGTTATTAAGAATCACCTATCAGACAGGGGTAGGGATAGGGGGGTTGAGGAGACATTCTGCCCCACTGGAACTCAAAAGAGTGTTCAGGCTCTTGCAAGATAAAAGGCTTTAAATTTTCAGGAAAGAAGAGCATGGATCCCTGAACGCCAAGAGCAGATGCACCCCTCAAGAAGTTAATAGAAGAGCTGGAGTAGTTAATTACTCACTCTAACAGCAATTAAGATAAATGTGTGCTGGGGGACTGATTGACTTATGAAGTGTTCCTGTCTGCTAACATCAAAACTCAGGGATGTAAGAGGACAACTTCCAACATTTCCACTGAAATGGTTAAAGTCTGCTAATCCACGTATGACAAATGATACTGCAAGGAACAGTCATTTCTCCTGTCAAATATATCTTATCCCAAGTGCACTGATGCCTTTAGTTGCACAGGGCAAATGTTGTAACATAGACTGAAGCCTTCTGAATGTCAGTTCTGTCTCACTGTGTTTTAACATTGTTCATTTAAATGTTAAATAGTGCATGTTAACAAAAAATAATGATGATGATGATGATGATGGTGCAGCAGGTTCAAAACAGTGTGCTGCCCTCTCTTGGCCACCTACCTCTGTCTTAAAGCAACTCTCCTCAAACTCTTGCTGAAGGCTGGCAGAAGCATCCTTTGAAGATGGTCCGCTTCTCTTGTTGTACAAAAGAGGAAAATCTATAAAAGGAGAAATGAGATGTTCAGTTAAAACGAGGGTGGTAGACATTTCTACTAAGGATATTTACTTTAAAGAAGAAAAACTAGCAGGAGACCTCATAGCAGCCTTCCAAGACATGAAGAGTTGTCAGAGGGAAGAGATTATGAATTTATTAATGCTGTATTAACAGAGGGGTAGAATCAAGATCACGTGAAGTGTTAATACCACTTTATAATGCCTTGGTAAGGCCACACTTGGAACACTGCATTTAATTTTGATCAGCACAATGTAAAAAAGGCGTTGAGACTCTAGAAAGAGTGCAGAGAAGAGCAACAAAGATGGTTAGGGGACTGGAGGCTAAAACATATAAAGAACGGCTTGCTGGAACTGCGTATGTCTAATTTAATGAAAAGAAGGACTAGGAGTGATATGGTAGCAGCATTTCAATATTTGAGGAGCTGCACAAAGACGGGGGAGTCAAGCTATTCTCCATAGCATTTGAGTGCAGGACAATAGATGGAAACTAATCAAGGAGAGAAGCAACCTAGAACTAAGAAGAAATTTCCTGACAGTTAGAACAATTAACCAGTGGAACAACTTGCCTCCAGAAGCTGTGAATTCTCCAACATTGAAAGTTTTAAAAAAGAAATTGGACAACCATTTGTCTGAAATGTTATAGGGTTCCTGCCTGAGCAGGAGGTTGGACGAGAAGACCTCCAAGATCCCTTCCACTCTGCTATTCTATTCTGTCTTGTCCTATCCTATCCTATCCTTTAAGGTTCTCTAAATGAAGCAGATGGCTAGATTTATGGAAGGAGATCCCATTCAAAAGAAGGAAGAATCTCCCAATTGTGAGAACTGTTAAGTAGTGGAACAGTCATGGGTGCTCAATCACCAAGGTTTTAAGCAAACAGATGGGACGTTTGTCTTGGAATGGGATGAGAATACCTGTCTTGGGCAATGGGTTACACTATAAGATTTCTGATACTGCTAGAGTTGTGTCAGGAGCACAATGAGTGCTTCTTGGTTGAAATGATTGAATGAATGATGACATCACAATTGCCTGGGGGATATCCAATTGGGGTCTGCTTTCATGTCCCCATTAAGTTGCCCGTTAAAGTGGTACCCATTTATCTACCTGCGATCACCCTTTTTGAACTGTTGGATTGGCAGGGGGTGGAGGTTGTGATGGGAGCTCACCCTGTCCTGCAGCAGCAACTGGGTCTCAAACATGAGTCTTCCAATCATCAGCCCAGCACCTTAACCTATTGAGTTATCACATTCCTGCAAGACCACGGATGATATCCATGATTATGATTATGCTCTTAGCTCTGAAATGTGCTGCAGAATGCATACTGGCTATGCATATTGCCTTTTAGGAGACATGTATATTTCATGGAAAAAAATTCACTCTCTGAGAGGGAAAAAAAGCCAAACTTTGTATTTCTCTGTACCTGTTTCTTTAAAATTCAATGCCTAGTATGGCTACAGTCCTAACATGATGTCATATGCAGACCATCCAGCCACAGTCTAGTGGCTGGGCGAGATTATTCTCTCCTATTGTAAATCTATGACAGCCTGTCATGCAGGCATTTATACTGCTTCCTCTCTCTATCCCTCTAACCCCGCCTTAAGAATTGTGGAGCAGAATTTTCACTGCTGGCCTGCTTCCCACCAACCTTCAGATTTCTTCACAATGGAATTCAAGGCCAGGCAGCTCTTCTCTTTATTGACTGAATGGCTCAGCTCAGCTCCTGGTGGTGCCAATTAAGCTCAGCGGGGGACACAAGCAGCAGCTGTCAAAGACTTGTTGTCGTCCCCTCCCCTTCATGCACCAGTAATGGTGGAAATGTTTTGTTCTCTGCAACATGGGAAGCAACAGACCCTTCACCCTTTCAATAGGAATCCTTGGCTCACATATTGTAGTATGACTTATACTTTTTTTGTTAGTGGAATAGTAAATGCCAAAAATATTTGTCCAGATTTGGATGCATGCAACACTCCGTACTGCGTTATGAAGCAAGTGACATCATTTCAGCTGATGCCTGCCCAAATTATCTCTCCACTCTTTTGTCTCTTATTCTTTTTTCTTGTGATATATTTGAAGAATATCCTCAGTTCAGTATTCCAGGTGCGTCTTTAATAAATTGAATACGTATTGGGGGAAGTCAAACGAAAATGGGGCAAAATATGATGAATATTGACCTACCCATATATCCCCATGCACACTAGTGCAAAACAGCAGGGCATGCAACACTGATTCCATTTTCAAGTGCCTCCTGTCTTCTCCACTATGAACATCATGTAGTCTACGCAATATACCTAAATCTGAAATCTTTAAAGGTACAATTTTCATTGTTTTCTGAACTGAGAACCAACACGTAACATATTAACAGAAAACTAGGTTCAGTTTTCTCCTGGTCCTACTTGCATTTTTATCTTTTTTTTTTCATAATATGGTTTCAATATGCTAAGTGTTGTCTCTCAGTTCACTCTGATTTAAATAGAATAATACAGATTGTACTTCCAAAAATTAAAAAGAATAGCATTCAAATATTAAAGCAATGATGTATTTTGTAATTCTAGAAGTCTAACTGTTAGAATCCTGGTTTTCACCTGGATAAAATATAATTGTTGAGTTGGGCAAAATACTTTAATTGTAGGTAATAATTCCTTCTAGTGAATAGATTAGCTTGAACATGTTAACATTCAACATATCTTTTTCCCACAAGCTTTTAGCTCCCTCTGGAGTCGCCTCATCAAACACACAGGGGAAATTTTAAAGAATACAAAACGACAACAGAATTAATAAGCAGCATTTTAAACACAGACTTAATTGAGAAGAACAAATTAAACATGAGGTGGTGGTAGTTTTGCCACCTGCCTCTCTCTCTTTTGTAAAAGCATTACGATTTTTGCAAATTGTTTATTCGTTAGTTCATGTGCTAATTGGACAGCTAGGGCAAACCTGGCTTTTTATATCTAAATGTAATACATAAATCAAAGGCATTGTTATTAATTATTTCTGGAATTGCCTTAAAGTGAACATGCATCATGAATTCAGAAATAAGCTGCAGCTCAGAACGTTTTGTATGATGTCAAAAGTAGGGCTTGCCTGATAGAGCGAGGCAGTGGCCTCTGGTGGCAAATGCTTGATGTTGGGGGGCAGGGACGGACAGCAGGAAGTGAAGCATGGTCATAATTCAGAAATGGTGGCCACTTTCTGGTATTACACCATGTGACTTAGGACTACAGAGACATACCCATCTTCCCTAACCTGAGCCCCAGAGTTCTTCAAAAATTAAATGTGCAGTAGGTGACATGAGTTGGGAGGTGGGTGAAACTGGTGGGATACTGGTGGCCTAGGCTTGCAAGGCCCCTGAATGACAGGAAGTGGAGCATGGGTACCTCAGTGGGCAGGGGCTGCACTAGGCCTCTCAGCGCCTCTCCTGGGCCCCTGAGGCACCTGTGTTCCGCTTAATGACCTGCACATTTGTTTAACAATCCAATCAGCTGTTAAGTGCTTCCTTTACTTTGTGGCTGTCACAACATCCAGCTGTAATGAGCAGTTACAACTCCTAATTGAGTCAGGGACAGGGGTGGGATGCAAATATTTTTACTCCCGGTTCTGTGTGGCGGGGGGGGCGTGTCTTTTTTTTCCAGCACCTCCCCCCCCCCCCCCCCCCGGGTCCCTTTTTTTTTGCTTCCTGGGCCTCAGGGAAGCCTCCTGGGAGGCTGTTTTTGCTTCCAGGCAGCTTCTCTGAGGCCCAGGAGGCAAAAAATGGAGCGTGGGGGGGGGGTACACAGCCCTCCCCTCCCCATGCACCCCTTTTTGCCTCCTGGGCCTCAGGGAAGCCTCCTGAGCAAAGCAGTAAGACAGCGAGGGGGATCCCGGCACAGTTGATCATTGGAACAGCTGACTGTCAGCAGGGGAAAAAAAGAAATACAGGTTTGGCCAAACTGGAAGCTGTTTTGTTTTTTTAAACTACCAGTTCACCCTAATTTAGGTTGTTTTTCAGATACAGGAATAGCTACTCCTCCTCTTGCTAGTATCAAAGATCTAACAATCAGTTAAGAAGCTTCTAATCTACACCATTCTGCAGAAGGCAAAATAGATAGCAACTTTGCCTCAAGCAAAACACATGTTTCCAGCCAGCCTTTTCTGAGACCTCCAAGCTGCTAAAGTTGATACAACCTTTTTCTCAGTACTAAGAATGGAACACAAAACAGCTGAGAGGGATCAGATTGCACAACAGGTGGACCAATGTGTGTATTCTATGGAGGAAAATGAAGAAATCTCGTATCTGAGAATAATGTAAATGAATGTACAATGTACTTTAAGTATAAAGATACATTGACAGTGGTTCCCCAGTGCTGTGAATGTTTAGTTTACTTTACTTTATTGTCATTGCACCTCGTACAACGAAATCAAACACCATCTTTAGTGCACATCATGACCATGAAAATAAACACAAACACACATCCTTCACACTCCACACATTGAATTGAAAACCCCGACACCACACCAACACTTCACTATACAGTAGAATTCAACAGAGCTACTGCCCCGGGATAGAGGCTGTTTTTCAGCCTATTTGTCTTTGTTTTTATTATTCTGTACCATCTGCCAGATGGGCTCAAAATATTTGTTTTGTTGATCTAGGCTTGGGAACACCTGAAAATGAAAGTATTTATAATACATCAAAGAATCTGTCAGTCCTAGTTTCTACAATAAAGCTTTTACATTCTTCTTGCTAGGTTAGGCTTATGGCCAATTATTAACAATGCATTTAAAAGAGAGAGGAGGGGAAATAAAGCAAATTAAAACGCAAGAAGACCCATGTTAGTTATCCAGTGCAACAATACTACAAAATCCATATTGCAAGTATTACAAAGCCCATCCTATGTGGCCCTCATATCTTTGATATTCTGAGGGAGGGAAACTGCTTTACAAATAGCTAACAGGAACAGGGAAGCAAAATATGTATTTTTTTTAAAAAAGGATTACGTGTCTTTCCCACATGTCTTATATCAAAGTCGTTTCCTTAAAAGTAATCATAATCAAGCCATGAGAGTAGATGGACATTACAGGTAGTTCTTGATGCGCAACCATTCTTTTAGCAACTGTTTGAAATTACCACAGCACTGAAAAAAGTGACTTACAGCTTGTCCTCACCCTTATGATTGTTGCAGCATCCCCATAGTCGTGTGAACAAAATCCAGGTGTTGGGCAACCATACATTGCAGAATAAATTGCGGAATTCCAGACAATCACTGTTTGTGACCTTCCCAGCTGAATTCCAAAAAGCACACTGAACGAGGGAAGTTGCGTTCAGTTAACAACCTATGCAATTCACTTAATATCTGCAGTGATTGGCCTAACATCCGTAGCACAAAAGGTTGTAAAATTGGCATAAATGAAAGTAGAATATAAATGAAATTGTTTAATGGAAGAATGTAGCTAAACATGTAATTGTATTGGATGATTTAATCAGATTATATCTTACTTGACTGAATCTTTTTCCAGTTCTGATATTTTTTGGATGAAGAAGGGTCACGAAGACTGTAGGCTCGTTGTAATGCTAGAGGGGAAAGATAAGGGAAAAAAAACAGCTACAAAGGGGTTTTTGTTAAAATTCAGGAAGTTCCAAACCTCAACAATAAGCACACTGAGATTTTAAATTTGAATTTGTTTTGCTTGGATATATGTTTTGGAGTTATTCCACAACTGCAGAGTAAAGTTTGACATCCTACCATTCCTTATTATCCATATTTGACAAAACCAGCTGCAGCTGGTAGCCAACAAAAAATTCAGTCAAGTCTTCTTCACAGAACAGTTCACTCAGGAAGTTTACATTTCAAGTAGAAGAGTTCAAAATTACAATTTTTCTAAGGCAATGATGCCTCACCATTTCAAGCGGGCAGATAAATATTTAAATATCAGCCACGAGGGGGCAATGTTCTCCAACCTGATTTTTCCTTGGCTCAGCAGTTTAATTCTCACTTTATTCCATTTTTGTGGAATGGTATAGCTGCAGCAGGAGAATGCACTTATGCCCAGCCATTTCTATATCTATTGTTTCTCTTGCCTGTGGGTTGTTGGGTTTTTTTTTTTTCTACTCCAAATGAGGGAGAAAATAAAACATTTGTTTTTCATTGGTCGAAGTTACATAATTCTCACAACTGTCTTCAAGGAAAAAAATCCTAGTGATCAAGCAAACAATGACGGTGCGAAACAGAGCAATGTGGGTGATAGAAAGCTAAGGATCAGGGAGGCCCCAAAGGGGAAAGTACGTTATGTACCAGGGAATGCTGTGGTTCACTTTGGAAAAAATCAGTGCAGAAGCTGAAGTGGTGTGTGGATAAAGAGGGGTTATGACAGTGCGCATGTGTGTGTGTGTGTGTGTGTGTGTATGTTTGGGTGTGTAAAACACAATGTATGAGAGGGGAGAGGTGGATGGCTTCAGTGGGATACTTTGCATCCCATTGCTTTGCATTTCAAAAGCTTTCCTTTAAAACAGGGGTCCCCAAACTTGTCAACCTGAAGACTTGTAGACATAGTTGGCTGGAGAATTCTGGGAGTTGAAATCTACAAGTCTTACAGTTGCCAAGTTTGGAGACCTCTGCTTTAAAAAGAGAAAATGTAATTTATATAGATTCTTGGCTGCTGTACAGGTAGGCCTCGACTTAAGACCTCACTGTTCAAAGTGGCAACCGCACTGAAAAAAGTGGCGTATGACCATTTTTCACACTTAGGACTGTTACAGCATTCCTGTGCTCATGTGATTTATATTCAGATGCTTGGCAACTGACTCATATTTATGATGGTTGCAACATCCCGGGCAGTGGTGGGATTCAAATTTTTTTACTACCGGTTCTGTGGCCGTGGCTTGGTGGGTATGGCTTGGTGGGTATGGCAGGGGAAGGATACTGCAAAATCTCCATTCCCTCCCCACCCCACTAACCTGCTTTCCAGCTCCATTCTCCTGTGCAGGGCAACAAAAGAAGACCCAGCCGATCAGCTGAGACTCAGGAGGCAGAGAATAGGTGGGGGCAGGGCCAGTCAGAGGTGGTATTTGCCAGTTCTCTGAACTACTCAAAAATTCCGCTACTGGTTCTCCAGAACTGGTCAGAACCTGCTGAATACCACCTCTGATCCTGGGGTAATGTGACCTTCTGACAAGCAAAGTCAATGAGGAAACCAGATACACATAACATACATATTACTAATTTAACAACTGTAGTGATTCAGTTAATACACGTGGCAAGAATAGTTGTGAAATGGGGCAAAACTCACTTAATAAATTTCTCACTTAGCAAGATAAATGTTGGGCTCAATTATGGTCGTAAGTATTAGGGTTAAAAGTAGAGGGCATTAAAATATATTTGCTATGATATCTATTAAAATATATAAACAATAGATTTAATCAATCTATTGTTTTACAATTGTATTAGGTATGGAGTGGTCAGAGCAACAAAATAAAGTTCCATTATTTTACAAAACATACAACAAAAATTGAATGTATGGAAAGCATTCTTTTCCAGAGTTCTATCAGCATTATTTTATATAATGGTATATTTTATAAATATGCTAACTCCTTTATTGTCTACATTAGTGTTACATAATTTATGATGCTATTATGCATAAATTTTCATACCCTGGAGTCTACCTTTGGCTTAATTATCTAATGCTAAAGTAAATTTAGAAATGATTGCTAAAAAGTACTTGGGAAAATAGAGAACCCAGCACCCACAAATGAATTTGTTTAATTCAACTGCATTTTTTCTTTTTCGACCCTGCAATGCAGAGGTGTTAAACTCATGGCCCATAGGCTGGATGTGTCATACGCTGGCCACACCCACCCATTTTAGTGAAGGGGTCACAATACATCACAGGACGACAATGTGAAGATGCAAATTTGACACCCTTGCTGTAATCCCTTGATTTGGGATGGAGTCAGGGTGACTGAATGGAGCTGAGCATTTACTGATCAGATGCCCTTCCTGATGCCTATGTGGAGTTCACAGCAGATATTTTCATTCTGTGTCCTGTTAGAGAAACATCTGTTACTACCTAGGATTGCACTAGCATCTTCACCTCTAGGCCACCATGCCACTCAATTCAACCGCATTATATCTTCTGAACCTCATACCACTTTATCAATGAGGAGGTCTTGAATGGTTTCAGTGCCTTTTGGTGGACTCAGAGAGTTTTGGAGCTTATAGAAACTTACCATTAGCAGCTTTGGATTTTTCAAGGCGATCACTTCCCTTCTCCAAATTTGTGGTGGACAGTGGAGATCTCTTTGAAGATGAGAGACAATTCCAGATGGGCTTAGGCAATGGCAACATTTCTTCTGAGGATGCAAGAATGGCTGAATTTCCAGAAAGATCAGATTCTAGTTCTGAGCTAAGAATCCAAGAGTAGAAAGATCTGGTTGTTTTAAGCATGACCAGCAAGTGGTACAAAAAAACCTAATCAACAATTCACACATATATGGTATCTTTCCCCTACATATGTAATAGGCATCATTGGTTGACTTTGTTATAGTTTTTCTTTTAACAGGTGTTCTGTTTCTGGACATGTGTCCTCCAGATGTGTTGGATTAAAACTGCCATAACTCTCAGCCAGCAAAATGAAAGAAAACAACACCCTCTCAACTCATAGTACTTAAAGTCTATCAAGTTATTGACAGTTCTTCAGCTAGAAAGAATTGCTAATGATGGAACTGGAAAGACAAAAGTTGAAGAAAGTCAGTGCAAAGGAAACTGGGAAATATATACTGTATATTTGTATTCAACAAAGCTGCTTTCTTGAAAACTTCAATAACTCTTACATACTGTAATTTTTATTGCTGTTGTTGTCAAAGCTAACCTGGATTTAATCCCCCACCCCACCCTGTATGATTCAGGCTGTGTGGGATGCAAAGATTTCTTGTCAGTGAATCATATGCCCACAAGAACTTTGTGCAAGCTGCAAGAATTGAGTGTTCCTGGTTCATCATTCTTCTTTCTCTCATATCATCTCCTTTATTTACTCTGACAACTGGGTTCTATAATTTCTGCTTCCAGTTCATTCAAGGAAGTAAATTTGCATCAGTAACCAATACCTGCTTCCATCACTAGTTAGCAGAACTTGGACTGCCAGAGGTTTGTGATTAACTTTTTCTTCTTCTGGGTTAAGTTTGACCAAAGTCCATTCAGAAGGGGCCAAGGAACTTCTAAAGTCAAGATGGGGGATATTCTTGCACTTCTTGGGAGAGATGGATTCATCTACTGGATAGTTGCAATACTCTAGAGAAAATAAAGAACATGAAAACTTGTCCCACATCAATTCAGAATAATAACATTGTTCATTCAGGAGGATGCCAAAAGTGTGGAAAAGTCAAGCCAACCATCTTTTAAACACAGTTTATCTGTAGAGGAAGATATGCTTAAAATGAACTTATATGTCCATTGTTTAAAATTATCCTTCCTTCAATATGGATGTCCTTCAACATGTTCAATGAGAACTATTTTGCTGGAGTAACTGGAGCAAAATAGTTGTCCTCACTTCCCTTTGACTTTCTCATGTAGCAGAGAACTGAAAGGTAACAGCCAATAGACAACCTATGCCTGAATTGGGGTCCCAGGTCCTGCTGCTACTGCTTCTAGGAACAATGATCAACCTTCATGATTGTAGCCTTGTCTTATGTTCTCCATTTGAGCTGCTTCTGTTACCAGGACCTGCAGGATTATCCACCTCAAATAGACGCTTATCTATTCAGTTTTCATATCCTGTGTAGATGTTGAAGATTTCCCCACATGCATATTTGTGGAGGAAGGGCCTCTCGCTTATGGTCCTTAGATTCAGGAACAGCTTTCTTCTGGAAAACTCTAATATATCTTTCCTCCCAGTATTTAAGAAGTCAGTAAAAACAGAGCTATTTAGAAGAGCCTTCACTTCAGTTGGGAGATACCCAATGCAATTAACTAATTAGTTAATTATGGATACCAATAAGAACATTAATTTTAATTATGTGTAGGTTTACAGTTTCATTATATGGTTGGAAGTTTATGATATAAGACTCAAAGAGCCCCTTGGGATTGTGGGGATGCAAAAACAAAGAAACAAACATGCCAGGTAGTTCTCTCATTTGTTTCACACAGAACTGGTTCTCCCATCAACTTTTCTAAGAAAAGAATCAAAAATAGAACTTGGCTTTGCAAGGCTGTCTGTGAACCAGAGGAGTTCACCATAATAAACAGCTTAACTGCAGAAAGTCCCTTGGCCATGAATTTCCACTCCCTGTGGTCAAAAAGGCTGACATTCATGGCCATCTGTTGTCCCTGATGGGAACAAGTTACAACGGGGATCAGGATGGATGGATCATTCGTCCAGATCAACTTCAACTTCACACTTTGGGAGAAATTACTAGCAATCTTACAACATGTGGCAAGCTCTGCGCTACTGTACTTGGGATAATCTGCAGGTTCTCCCAGATTAAGATCATCCTGTACAACCAGATTTAGTTTCTGGGCAATACAGCCAACAATGAATAAACTAAGTCTGACAGGTTGCAATTTATACTGTACATTGGGCCCATTGCCTCTGACCACAAAGCCTCCACTGAGATTTTTATGCCCAGACAGTCAGCTCTTGAGCATACAATTCGTGGATACATTAATTGTTTAAAATGAACAACATATAGCAACTTCTCATGAAACAACACCAACCTGTACTTGAATGCTTCATCATTGGATGAGTTGGTGCCTACAGCACCAGCTTCCCTTGATTTTCATCCTACTACCAGCATTGCATTATGAATAGCAACAGCAATTAAACTTATATACTACTTCATAGTGCTTTACAGCCATCTCTAATCAGTTTACAGAGTCAGCAACAATCAATCCTTCTTTTACTGGCTTTTGCAATACGGTCTCCTAACCACTGCGCCACCATGGCTCTTTGAAGGAGAGATGAAAAATACTTACTCCTTACATTCTCCTCCTTGACTGGACTAAATATCTGAGATGAAGGATTGTTGTTTACAATGTGATGGCCTAGAACTGTGATAGCAAACCTATGGCACGCATGCCAGAAGTGGCACAATGAGCCATTTCTACCGGCATGTGAGAGGTCTCCCGAAATAGACCTACTGCACGTGTGCGCTTGTCCCCGCAAGCCAGCTGATTGTCGGGTATCTGCCACGCATGCATGGGGGGAGATGCATGCACAGGAGATGCGTGCACATGTGGGGGTGGGGCACACAGGGGGCACACATGCATGTACAGAGGCGCGTGATGGGGGTTGCGCGCACATGTGCAGGGGCAGGGGGAGTCACACATGCATTGTATTATGGGTGCAGGCACACATGCACGCTCACACTTTTGGCACACTATGAAAAAAAATTAGCCATCACTGGCCTAGAAACTGGTCACCCATGAGTATCTAGTCAGGCATAGAATCCCAAGGGGATGCTGTTTCTCAGCTGAACTCACCTTACAAGTTTATTGCTGGGGTGGGGAAATAGATAGCACAAAGAACTCTGTTGCTGTTGTGGTTAGCCGGCAGCAGGTACAGATGGTTGAGGAGAGCAAGGACTCTGATGAAGGGCCAGGACCATCAGGGAGTGGACTGCTGCCTTCAGAGATTGTGGGGGCTGGCAGCAGTGATGAGGAGGTTCCCGAGGAGCCTGTGCCAAGTGCACAAGCACGAAGGATTGCTCAGAGGAAAGAACAATTACAGCAGCACAGGCAACTTGGGAGTAAGACTGCAAGGTAATGGCCCCTCCCTCAAGAGGATAAAAGCCAGGTTTGGAAAAGCATTCTTTGCTCTTAAGCTCAACTGGTGGACATTTTAGTTCATGAATCTTGTAAATTAGTTCTTATCTCTGGGTTTTTGGCAGCCTTGACAAACAACTTGGCAAGGCTCTTTCTTGTTGGAGATAATTGTTGGAAAGCAGCCTTTTATCTGTAAAGCAACAGCATTCGTGATTAAACCCTGAAAGGTGGGGGCTGCTGCCTTTGTCTGTGTTTGCTCTCGGGGAACCCGGTTGGGTCAGAACAGTTGCCCTATTAAGAATGGAGCATGAGGGCTTCCAATAGTTAGGATGGAGAAGCCTCCGAACGCCAGCTTTTTCCACCAGCTGATTGGTGGGTTATCTAAAGTCATTACCTGCATGGCAGCACATGTTACATCTCATCCTTTTGAATCCCCCTGCCATAGGCTAACCATTGCAGGGAAAAGAGCTGCCTTGCAAGTGCCTGATGCTGCCAGAAAAGGAAAAGGTACCTAGGAAAAAGCCTACTTGAATACCCTTGGCATTGTAAGATGGCTGAAGTTCCTCATATCCTGTCCCTGCAACTATGCCTTGCTGTGGTGGCCAAAGGCACAGCAGGGATCTGGTCATTTTGAAGTGCTCCTATCCTTGCTCAGGTCACCGCCCAGCATGTCAATTTGATAGTAATGGATGGTCCGCTGCTCTGCCTGGATCTTCACAACCATCACATGCCACAAACTAAGATTTAGGAAAGGGCAGCTCATCCTGACCCTTGCCTTCAGCCCTACAGTCTTGCCAAGGGGAGGGACTTTATTGCTTGATACAATACATCCATACCTTTAATTTTGCATGAAATAATAACTAAAAATCCTTGACGGTAAATAGTCAACCCTGAAGACTTCTATCTGATTTGTAGCTTTATGGATTGCCTTCTCCATTGAAATGTTTCTCTCTGGGACTTGGGTACAGCTTTCACAAAACCACTTGTTCTGTGTCCAAAACATGCCCATAATGGCCATTGCTACCACGTGCTCTGCAAAATTTTATTTTGTGTAAAAAAAATTTTAAGCAAAACAAAAAGCGATTGTCTTACAGTCTCCTTGATTAACTTTTCTATCAGACAGACTTTGGAGGCTTCTTAACAGAAGAAAAATGTTGAGGGTCACACATTTAGATGAGTTTATTTCCACTGAAATCAGTGGAACTAAAATGGCATTAAGTTCAAATTCTTCAATTTACTCTTCCTTTTAGCCTGTTTATCCAGGGTTTTCTGTACCTTAAAGCAGTCTAACTAAAATCTCTGTATGGAATTGTACGTTACTCCCAGAAGCTCTCATTTATTTCAGGGAAAACTTTTTTTCAACCAAAATATGATTCCCACATGTTTCAAAGTTTAAGCATGAAATGCTAAAAATATTAAGGAAATCCTATCATTATAAATATATATAATTTATTCCATGTTGGTGATTATATAATGGAATTTCCTTCCAGAAATATCCCCCCCCCCCCATATTCCAGTCTAGTCTCAGTTCTACGATTTGATTGTCTCCCATCCAGTTTACTTGCCAGACTAACATTCCTTAGCTTTATGAGAGCAGCCAAGGCCTGCTAAATGGCTAAATTTTAATTACTGCGTATCCTGATTTGGGAAATCCTGATCAGCATATAGCCAACTTTAGAGGTCCAGGTACCCTTCTGTTTTCTGAAGACAATTTTCAGAACATAATGTCTCAGCTCTATCTCTCAGGTAGGCTGGTTTGCTTTAAAAGACAGACAAACCCTCAATTCTTCTCATATGCAAATATATTTTCTGGTTGTTGTTTTTACTTTTTAATGTTTTCTTTTCTATCTGGGAGTTCTCTAAAATTAAGAGGGCTGAAAGAGTTTAAAGAAAACATTCAGGTTTGTGCTGGGGCTTCTCACAGGAGGAAAGAGGCATTTCATCTTTGGCTCACTCACACAACAACACTAGTGGGACATGATCTCATCTGATTCAGGGACTTCCTTTCCCATAATTACAGGCATCTGAAGCCGAGCGTTGGGCTGCCAGATACCACACAGAGTTACAGTGTTTAGTTAGAGGATTGTTATGTATGGATCAAAGATTACTTTTCAGTTTTCTAAAAAAACATTTTCTTATAGTTAAATCTAACATCTGGCTTACTAAATCAAGGAATGTCCTCCAGGTATGGTTAAAAAATTAAAATGCAGTCAAAGCTCTGCCTATTATGTGTGACATATATAGCAAAACAGGCAGAGTTTCATTGGTGCCATTATGGCCACCATTTTGACTTTTTCTTTTAACAACACTCTGTGGACCCTCCTGACAATATCTATTACTTCAAAGACTTTAATCCAAGTAATGCTGTCTCCTTCTAGATCTTCCTAAACTCCAGCTCTATTTCTACTTTCAAATACATTAAAACTGAAATTTTGGGAGGTGTTAGCCCACATGTGGCCTATTACTGTGGCAGTGAGCAACAGGCTGAAAAGTTCTTCAAGTTCAACTGAGTAAGATGCAACATGCTAAAA